GCATGTAACCCCTCATGCCCCAAACCCCTGATGCAAGGGGCACTTCACTTCAAGATTTCCAGCCAGGAGTTTATAGGATAAAAATATATACGGTAGTATTGCATTTATTTACATGGTGTGAAAACGGAGTCATGGTAAAGTTCAATTACTCAGCAGGCCGTTGCCTGTGGAAAATAATCTAGTGAGGAGCATCGATGAAACGGTGAGTGGCAGAGGACATCCACAGGCATATGGCGGGCATGGGACATTTAAGGCTGAACCGGTGAGAATGCTGCGGAAAGAAGACGCTCAGCTGTACGCTGTATACACAGCATGACACGTACCTCTCCCTATGCTGCAAAGGGCAAAGGAGGAGGTCCGGAGCATGGAGAGGAATGGCATCATTGAGAGAGTGACCATTGGACCATGCATACTGACTGGTTTGCACCCATTGTGGCGGTCTTGAAGAAGAGCACAGCCAAAGTGTTGATCTCAAGAGACTGAACAAGGGTGTGAAAAGAGAACAGTATGACCTTCCTTCTACTCATGAGATTACAGCAGAGCTGTGGAGCCACTGTCTTCTCTCTCCAGTGGGTTCTTCCAGATACCGTTGAATCCTGACAGCTGTAAGCTCACTACCTTTACTACGCCATTTGACAGATTCTACTTCAAGGGGCTACCGTTTGGGGTCACGAGTGCACCGGAAATCTTCCAAAGGAAGATGATGGAGACCCTCCAGGGGCTGGAGGGTGTTGAGATCTGCCTGGACGACATTCAGATCTATGGGGCCACAGAGAAGGAGCATGACGGTCGCCTGGAGAAGTTAATGCAGCGAGACCGCTGCTCTGAAGCTTAATCGTGAGAAGTGCTCCATCGGGCGAGTAGGCTGCAGTTCCTCGGGCATTACATTACATTACATGTCATTTAGCTGACGCTTTTATCCAAAGCAACTTACAATAAGTGCATTCAACCATAAGGATACAAAGTCAGAAGAACAAGAAAGTGCAATTTCATCAAATAAGACAATTTACAATTTGCTATAGATGAGTGGCGTTACAAGTACAATCATTGACCGGTCCTGACCCCGACAAAGAGGAAGCTATTCGGCAGCTGTCACCACCAGCAGACTTGCTGGTTAAGAAGGATACGGGGCGTGCAATAAGTTCGACAGATACCTCGATCGACTAGAGCAGTTCAAGCTTATCACTCACCACAAGCCGCTAGTGCCTCTCACTAACTAACAGCTGCAGCCTGGATAATGTACCTATACAATGTCAGCGTATGGGATTCAACCCAGTGGCAGTATAGTGGAGTACAGCCCTGCAGACACCCTGTCATGCAGTCTACTTGCAGGCACGTGCACAGAGACAGACACACATAGAGAGGTGGCATGCTACGTAGCTAGTGTAGTAGACGGGATTCCTGCGTCCACAAGCAAAATGGATGAAGTCAGAATGGCAAAGAAAATTCTCAAAGAAGTGGATCCTGTGATGCCTCTGATGAGCTGTAGGTCCACTTCCTGCTCCACCACAGGCTTCAGTCCAGCCGAGCTGTTGATGGGGAGGGAAATCAACCACAAGAATCTCCTACTTAAGTAGTTAACAGGGTAACTGCGAAGGAGAGGCACGGCAGGGAAAAGGCTAAACAGGTTCACTACTTCAACCGCCATCATGGAGCGAGGCCACTGCCTGCCCTGCAACCAGGAGATGTCATGGCCTACATGGATCATCCGATCGCATTCAGTTGAAAAATATAATATAATAACAACACAGTCAATGAATATAACGTAAAATATTCATATAGAGGAGTGAGCTCAATAATGGGTGACTCTGATTAAAGGACGACCATGCTCTCCACTCACCCAAAGGTTCGATCCCGTCCTGGCTCATTCTCATGTCGGTTTCGGAACCTGACATTGCTCCTGTGACGTGTGTGAACGGTAGTTCTTCATAGTACTTTACGGTAGCTCCTTTTAGCTAAAGCTCCAATAAACACTTTAAAAAATCAGATTTTTCTAAATATTACTTGATGTGTCAGACTTCACAGTAAAAGCAACCTGCAGGTCTGGGGACAAAGAGGAACTCAGCGAACTGCTACTCGAGGAAGCAGGAGGGCAACCTCCCAAAAGAGCAATGTGAGGGAGGCGTGGACCGGGATGAAGCAGATAACTGGCTTCACAGTTGGAGGGAGGACCCCAGGGGGCTCCCTGGAGAGGACCAATGAGCACACCTCCCATCACCTGTGCTGCCCCCCTCTGTCCTCCATGGGGAGCTGCATGGACACTGAGAGTGGCAGGAAAGTGACTAGGCAGTTTGAAAAAACTGCATGGTGTGGCCAAAGATCCATATCACGGTATTAAGAAAGATTCTGATGGTGTCCCGGTATGAGATAGTATTGCTTTTTCAAGTAAACACATCAATTCATTGACCCCGAAAAGCACCGTGGCTTCCCGATAGCTGTCCGCCGCTTGCTGGTCAACTTGCTCGCAACTTGCTCGCAACTGGCCCGGCAAGTTAGCTTGTTAGCGTGTTAGCTTGTTGTGGCTGCAAACAGCTGTTCGCTATCTCAACACACATAGGACAAGTAGCTCAGACCGCTGGGCGCCATGACGTGCTAAAATAAATTCTGCCCCCTGCTGAACAGCAACGTCAGTTGTGATGATGTAACACCAGTATGAACGGTATGTGAGAAATTCAAACCGTACGGAAGTCTTTTACCGGTATATCGTTTGAACCAGTAGACCGTGCAGCCCTAATTCTCACCATCACTAAACTAAACGGGCCCAGCTAGTGACGGCATGCCAGCTTCCATCAGGCTGTGTGTATGTTGTGTCCGTTTGTAGGAATTTTATTGATCTTTCCTTTTTCCTTTTTTATTTTAGGCTACCTTAAGAACATCTGGGACAGCAGATGGAAATGAGCCTCTCTGGCTAACTCTTGCTCACTTACGGTACACCGGTTGATTAGTGTGCATTGTCCCTGCAAAATAAATGAATATATAACTAAAAACAAAACAGAAGTCAGGAAAAAATACATTGACACAGAGGAGCTTCTGCAACAGTTTGGCAGTAGCACGGCACCATTTAAAAATAAAATTCTAGCCTGGAGGCTCAAGTTTTGCTACCACTTTTTCACTTAACTTCAGAGTTGATGGGAGCCATGTTTTCGGCATGAAAGAGGCTTTATGTCAAACAATGAACAAACTATCACATTCTAATGAAAACAGATTTGTAATGAACAAAAACAACTTTTTGGGAAAAATGTATTCATCCAGTTTTAAGCACATGGACAGTATGTTCCAATACAGTGAAGGGACATCTTTTAGAGAAGGACGTTTTTATCCATCACGTTTGCAGCATGAGCCGTAGACGGCTCTGCTTCCCACGACATTTAGCAATCTGCTGAGGAGGTGGAGGCGGCGACAGGCATGCTGATGGTTACCATGGTGCCGTCGGTAGAATACATTTTTCTTTGCCCACATAGAATTGTGACCGGGCAGTGGAAAAATATTTTCATTAGTCTCTTGAGCAGGACACTGGAAGTGCAGCGGTCTGTGTGTGTGTGGGATTGTTTTATTATGTTTATTTATCAGCCCAGATTTATTTCTGATGACATTGTTGAAAAATATGATTGTTTCAGATCCACTAATACGACTGTTTTTTAGTCTAAAAGGTTTGTGAGTGAAACTTTCTTCCTTGTTTGGAACATTAAGGGCTGTGATTATGTGTTATGATATCCATGCTGAGTTCTTTCCACTTGTCCATGAGGCAGCATTTATACCCCACAGGATGAGCCGCCGAAATACTGAATGCACTGCAATACAAATTGCTCAGGACGGACGAGAAGTGCACGCATCATGTAGTAGCTACTATTTGTAAGCAACAACTAAGGATGTTTGAATTAGTCCTGACGATTAGGGTGAATATGTAGACAGATGGGAGGAATTAAATAATTCCCAGAAAACAGGGTATAAACAAAATTACAACACCTCTATAACCTATAATGTTGTATAGATGTAGAAAGTGATGGTCCTCACAGTGACACAAACAATAATAAAATAGCTGTGAATGTGTGTACAATTGTGAATACAAGGGGTGCTCAGCCAATCATGTTGCAGGGACACTCCAGCAGTGTGTGGGAGGCTGACTCAGGCCTGCAGTCTTACATAAGAACAAATATAATGCCATCTAATTCAGCTGCTGTTGATGTTCTTCTTTTTCTGCAGGCAACCTGCTTACGGAAACATTTGGCCAGCAACAAGCACAGATATGCCCGCTTCTTTTCCAACACACAGGCACACAACTCCACCTTCCTCATCACCACCCCCCATCCCTCTGCAGATACATGAAAGAAAGTGTTTTTCCAACTGCCACAGGCACAGAACATTCGATTGTTATCCATGGATAACTTAAGGACTTGTATACTACTATTGGTCAAAGTCCCTTAGGTGTGATTACGTTCACAATAATATCTTGAAGTGTTAATGAGCCAATCCAGCGTTTTTCCTCTATGTTCTGGGTGGATTCTATATGGGTCATGATCAGTATGATGAGTTCTGAATTGACATAAATTATTATCTCAACGATAAAATCTTCAGTCTGACAATTCAGGGTCTTAATTGTGCGCATTGCAACAGTGTTTCTACTGTATTTCTTTGACAATAGATGTACATTTGGTTTAATCATGGTGGATTGAGTCCTTTGTGCCGTGTTAAAAGTATGTTAAATATTGAAAAGATGTCTAAATAATGGTGCTGGCTTGTCACTCATTGGAAGAATTTCATCAACTTAATTGATTGGAGGATGTTACACAAGCAAATTTCTAAAAATGATTTGTTGTTTGATATATATTAAAGACATTTTAAATAAAGGAAGAAGGGGTTAAGGAAGGACTGCAAATAATGCCAGGGTGAAGTAACCCTACTGTGAAAATGTGGGTTTTGATTACCAACTTAGATATTTATTTAGAAAAAGTACAAACTAAAAACTATATATGCCTATTTTACTTATTGTCTCTTCTCAGAAAGCTACCTTGATGGATGACGAGGCAGATGGAAAAGATTTGAACAAAGGTTGCAGCGCAACTGAGAATCACAGTTCTGTCTCCGTCACCATGGAAACCACTGAACAATCAGAGCTGCCAATGGACTGGGAAGTGGAGGTCACTGTGGCTGATTCACCTGCGCAGGGGAACAATTTCAGCACAGATGATGAGCAAGTTTGTTCAGAGACCGACTCATCCAATTTCCCAGGGAAAACAGAAATGCTTGTTAAAATATTAACTGAACTGCCAAGCGGCACAATTGAGATTGGCCAGCCGGACTGTTCGGAGACCAGTGTTTGCACTGAAATGCCATGCCCAGAGCAAAATGAAGCTTTGATATTAGAATCAGTGCATGAAGAGCTAAACAGGAATGAGTCAATCACCTCATCGGTGTCAGACACACTCTCTAGTGCAGACAGTGTTTGTGAGAATGAGGATCATCAGAAAAGGCAGGAGAAGTCAGAACAAGATCCTGAGCAAGAACAATGCCCTAAGCCAAAGTATTATCCTGAACCAGAGCACGGACCTGAACCAGAGAAATACCTTAAGCCAGAGCAAGAACCGGAACCCCAGCAAGACTCTGAATTAGAGCAACCTGGACCAGAGCAATATCCTGAGCCAGAGCAAGAACCTGGACCTGAACAATACCCCGAGCCAGAACAAGACCCGGAACCGGAGCAATATCCTGATCTAGAACAAGACCCTGAACTGGAGCAATTCCCTGAACTGGAGCAATACCCTGAGCCAGAACAAGACCCTGAGCCAGAACAAGACCCTGAACTGGAGCAATACCCTGAGCCAGAACAAGACCCTGAACTGAAGCAATACCCTGAGCCAGAACAAGACCCTGAACCGGGGAAATACCCTGAGCCAGAGCAAGAACCTGAACCGGAGCAATACCCTGAGCCAGAGCAATACCCCGATTTAGAACAAGACCCTGAACTGGAGCAAGAACCTGGACCAGCGAAAGACCCTGAGCGAGAAGATCTTAAACTGGGGCACTACCCTATGTCAGAACAAGACCTTGAACAACCACAGTACCCTGAGGCGGAGCAATACCTTGAGAGAGAGTTTTGCCCTGACCCAGAGCCTACGGATAATATGCTTGTTGTCGAAGATCAAAATTTTACAATATTCACAGAGGAAACCCCGGAGGACCATACCATTGTCCTTGAACCATCCAATTCAAAGGAGTCAATATTAGAATATGACATTAAAGAAGAGGCAATATCAGATGTTTACAATGAATCCTGCCATGATTTTATGCCTGAGGAAATGGACGAATGTCTGGGAGTTGAGATTTCAGTAGACAGCGAGACCGATGAGACGGATGAAAAATGGAGAACAATATTCTCTTCGTCAATAAATAAAGAAGATGACGACTCATATTTGGACAGTCTTCAGTTGAGTGCCCAGGAGCTGTTTGTACAGAAAATTGAGGACACAGACTGTGAGGAACAAGGCAATAAGAAGTTTGAAGATGTCAGTTTTGATGTTCCCCAAGTGGAAGAAGTTCTCGAACAACCTGTGGATATCATTGCGTTCCCTCCCCCTCCTCAAGAGGTCAAATATAATCCTTTAGGCCTTCAAGGTTTGTCCAAAATCTCTGAAGATGAGGGTGAAAATGGCAGGGATGCAAACCATAACCACACAACCCCCCAAAAGCACATCAATGAAGATTCGATGAAGAAGCTACCTAAAGACTTCTGTGTGATACAAGAGACCAAGAGTGAGAATGTGAGCACAGAACATGTGGACTTCCAGCTAGCCCGTAAACAGTGGCGCGAAATGGAGGAGCAAACCATGAACAAAATTGTCTTACCTACAGCCAAGCAGCTCAGCTTCCATAGCAGCCACAGTTTCATGTACACACCAGTGCGTAACATTGAAAGAACTCAAAAGAAAGCACACGACCTGGAGAATTTGAATCTGGTTGGCGATTATCCTCACACCCAATTCAGCCCTTGCTCAGAGGATTCCGGCCTGGATGATTCCAGTTACAGGTCAACTTTCGATGATCCAGAAACACCAGTTGAAAGGGAGATTCGCATATCAATGGAGAGGGAGGAACACTTCAGAAGGGAGAGGGGCCTCTCCAGGATGGGAAAATCAACTGATTGTGCTCCCTCACAAAGTATGCCCAGATCAATAAGCACTCCACTGACACCGTCATTCATCATCACCTCATCACCCACTAAGGAACCACTGAAACATGAAGTATCAGCAAACAACATTATCATTCTCAATCCCAGAAATGATTTCACCTCCAGCCCGAGACATGGGGAAGATAACAAGGTAGCTAAGTGCGGCGATTGGTGCTCAGAGGACAGCAGCCCCAACCTCATCATCCTAGAGACATCCAATCTGATTATCCGCAGCGCCTCAGAGTTCTCCCTCAACAAAGCCTGTGAGCAGCCCCAGGAAAAGATTTTCCTGAAGAACCCCTTTTTCAAGCTGCGTTCAAGAAGCACGATGTCACTGGTGGATGAAGAGATTAAGATTGTGAAGCAGAGGGAGGACGAGCTTAGAAAAGATAGGGCAAATCTGTATGGCAAAGACCGGTTCAATAATGAAAGGATGTTGTCAAATCACATGGACACATTGGCATTTGACGATTCAGGTATGACATCCAAATACTGGTCCCAGATATCATTTGGTACATACTTTTTCAAAAAAAATTTTGGGCATTTACAATGAACCTAATGATCCTCTTTGTTCTCTGTTGGTAGTTGATGTTCCAGTGAAGTGCAAGTCCTCTCCATCATCGCCACTGAAAACCAACTACAGGATGGATCGCTCCGCTTTATCCTGTGATCACAGAGTAAGCTCTGGTTTAAAATGTACTTTGATTTTACAGACGAAATTTTCAAATGGAAATGATGTTATTTGCTTTATGTTTCGCATTAGAACTAATGAAAAATCAGCAAACCGCAATTTGCATTTGGTCAGAGCAAGTGATGTAGTAGAAGAATTGAATTAGTACAGCCAGAGACAGCATATAAAAAGTGGTATAGTACAGAAAGTGAGGTAGTACATGAAATAAAGTAGTAAAGCGAGTGACTTAGTACATGACCCGTGGAGTCACCTTGTTAAAATGTACGTGGTAGGTGCTATAATAATGAGTGTAGCAACCTGGAAGTCTGGACGGGGCAGGTGAGAGTAATAGTGAATGGGTCAAATGAAAAGCTAACTTCATCGTGTTCATGTCCTGTTGAACCAAAAGTAAATATCAAATTTAACTTTTCACGTGACTTTGTTGTACAAAGTGGTTTTACCCATGGTTGTTTTACGCAAAATTGTTTCATGCAATGCTTGTTAAGTAAGAAAGGGCGTTGTTTTTTTACAGTAGTTTAGTTGTGTCAGTTATAGTGTTGTTGCATTATTGTTATAACACAAACAATGATCTTTTTTTCAAACCTCCTCCAAGGAGTTTTGATCCCTTATCCTGAATATCCCAAAGGCAGATATTGTTGAATTGTTTTTTTGGTTCATGAAACATACATGTTCAGCATGTACAACGCCAACATGTTTTATGGCGACTGGGTTGGGTTGTATCAATTTGTCAATGAGTTTATACAATTGGCGTCAATTCTGTCTTTTATAAAGATAACTCAAACTAGTTTCCATGCCTTTACCATTACATTGAAACTGATTTACGGACTCCACCTTCAGTCCAATGACTTGAAAGAGGGGGTGGAGGAAGTGCAGGTAAAGAATCTGCTATTTCTCAGTTTCCAGAGGTCTACACGGGAGGAAGACACAAGAGTTCCATGGCTCTGCGCTGGGAGGCAGGCGAGTTCACAAAAAGCGACTGAAGAGGACCATGGCAGCATCCCTAAAGGTCATCGCTTCGATGTCAATGTTAGAATCATCCAAGTTAAATGCAGTGTTGCAAGTGGGTTCCTTCATCTTGCTTTTGTGATGCTTTGGGCAAATCTAAAAATGACAATATTAGTGCATAGAGAAACAATTTTATACCGTACTATGGGCAAAATAATACCAGATTTTTGCCAGAGGCTGTGAATTATTTTCAAATTTCAAACGATTCTGACGTGTCTCCTCATTACTTCTTACCAGGCAACAGCTTATAGAGTTACGTTTTATTCAACTATTGACAAGGTCAGTGCCTACACATAGTTTTCATTTCAAACAAATTATGAATAGACGGTATTAATATTTTGAAAAGTGGAGAAAGTATAAATGAGAGGCAACCCCAGAATATCAGATTATGTGACATACACCCATATTGAAAATGCATGTCTCCTTGTGGATCTTCACTTGCCTATTGAAAAGCTTTTTAAGAGGTCCAATGCACAATCTAACAAAACTGCCTGTGGATGAAAAAAGAATTTGGTAAAATCATCCTTATTTTATGAGGTTAGTACTCACATGCCATATGTACAGTAAAGCAGTTATTGGTCAAATTCAGCTGAAACTAACATGAGACTGTGAGTCAGACAAATCAGAAGGCCAAGTGTAGGTTCATCATCATCAGTCAGTCATCAGTGTCCACAGCTAATCAAGTATCCTGCTCCACACGACATAATATAGTGGGGGCGACTTATGGCTGCACGTTCAAGGACTTCTTCAGCATTTTATATGCTATTTCATTGATTGACCAGTGAGTCTTGAGTGATCCCTAAAGGTGACACGATGTAACTCTAACCCTCATTCTGCTACTCTGTGCCAACGGTTACTAGGACAGACACTACTGCAAAAACCTCTCTGGCTACAGTGCGGCTCACTTTATCCCTTTTGGTTGCTAACCAAAACACCATAGCTGCAGCTCAGCTGCCTCTTAGCTAGGTTATTTAAAGTTCATTCAAATTGGAGAACTTCTGCCAATTTTCTGCATACATCGCTGATTGTATTTCACTTTTGTAAAGCGCTTGAGAGGCTTTACTGGCCAGTTGTTATGTATGGTCGCAGCACTGGTTGTTAGTTGGCTCCTTTTCATTGTTTTGTACAGGGTATTTGGCCAACTGCTAACAGCTATTGTAACTACCAGTACACACCCTGTTGTCGTCATTCTTTTCAGCTCCGTCAGTGCTACGCAGGCACACGGCTCGGTGCGTGTCTTACATGATGACTTTCAGCCGTTTCCCTGCATTCTGCATTGAGTTTAAATTAAATGTGTTTTGCAAAGCCTTGTAGCCCGTTGGTTTCTAAACCAATTAGCCAACTGTGGGATGTTAGTTGCTAATATCGCTTGTATTGCAGTATCGCGTTACATGTCTTTTAAATGAGCTCTATGGTTGTGGATAAGTGTTAATTCATCACTATGCTTTGATGCTTTGTTGGGATTTGGGCAGGTTAGGATGAGCCTCAAGGTTAAAGCTGCTTCAAGCGATTTGTATTGTGCTTTGGGGGAAACAGAAACAAGCTAAATAATCACCTGGACGTGTTGACTGTTTCCTATTAAGAAATCCAACAGCAACGGTATCATTGTTGAATATTCTTTCAACTAGTTTGGTCTCTATTAACTACATAGTTCCTGGTATCTAAATATTTCGGTTGGATATTTACTGCAGGGCATCTAATGTACAGTTAATAAATCAATGCTGTTCCATCAGTTTTTCTTCAGTTTTGATGAGAATGCAGAAACTGATCAGTAAAGGCAGCAAAGTAAAAGTATTTTGTACAGACACTCATTTAATGCTGAGTTGGTGGTAAAGATCTGTGAAGCCTTTCGTACTATTCATAGTCATTGGATATAAATAATGATTAGTGCTGCCTTAGGGGAAGGAAACCCCAATGTGATGGGGCATCGTGTACTGAGGGGAACACTGCAGATCTGCTGCTAACTGCGGATTTCCAGAGAAGAAAAGACAATTCTCTTATTAGCTTCAGCTGTACGGTAGAATGCATTTGGAGGTCTTGAATCCCGTCCTTTACAGCGTCCTCTCCCTAGGGAGAGATTGGACAGGATGAAATGTGACCAGTAAGTGGCACAACATACCGATCACGAGTGTTGTGTTGGGATACACTTGAAGCGTTCGAGAGACAGAAACAGATGTATTGCTGAGTCCACTCTTTGCTAAAGCTTTCTTGACATTATAAATGTAAATCAGATATGAAGACGTTATTGGATGTTATTGTGTGTCTCGATGAAGCAAAAGTGCTGCACTGCTCAGTGTATATTTATTGTATTTTTGTATTATGCTTTTTTTTGCTGCAAAGTAACATTTCAAGGTAAGCTAGTAAATCTGCACAATATACAAAATATAACATTTTTTATTCATGTAACATAACTCACCAAATGCAAAGTCTAGGTTTAATCCTCAGAATAAATATAAATATTACATTTATTTGTTGTGTTATGTCATGAGTGATACATGAGGACGCCTTAACATTGGAGTTCAGCCCCGCTAGCACCACATTATTCTGTATTACGTGCATGGACAAGTACAGGTATGTGTGAGCGTTGGACATTTCTAATGATGAATTTGGGTTTTCACAGCATTTTATTCTTTATACAATAAAACAATTAGATTTTAAAATATATAAATAGTAGCTGCAGTGAACATACTCTACATGAACCTATCGTTAATGCTCGATGAAATTCTCACTCTATTTTCCAACATTCGGCATATTTCTTTTATCTTGATGTAACATGGCAATTGTAGGCAGATTTGAACCACTTTCCTTGCGGATCTTCTTGTATTGTGTATTTCACGACACGAGATGTTTCCAAATGGGATTTTCTCAAACAGAAACATTGGTGTGATATCATTATTTAAAAAGCTGTGTTGTTTCCAGTAAAAACTATTTCTTGACCTTAGATTCAACTGACCTTGAACAGCATTGTTTTATATTTCATGTCTGTATGCTTCACTGTTAATTCTAACAAATCCTCCGGCTGCTTGCTGCTGTTTTAACATTTGGTGACAAATTGCTGCCATGCTTTTTGGAGGCTTCACAGGCTCCGTACTACTTAATATGCAGGACTTTTCACTTCGTATTCCCTGTTTAATTGAAGAGATCAGTGCAACAATAAAAGATGTAAAAGTAAGAAGTTGTCCACCTTGATTTGTTTGGCCACTGAGCATGCTGGGCCTGTGGAGAGTTTACTGTGCGCAAAGATGACATTTTATCCCGAGGGGGGTACGACCAGACAGTTACTGAATGATCTGAGTGGAAGTGGCTTATCTATACACGGGCTCACTGTAGGTTTCTCATGTCCTCACAGCTTGTGATGCTATTGAAAAACATTGTACATCAGATTAGATCCACTGGGACCACGAATCCAAAGCCAATCGCCGTATGGTTCACTTGGACCAGTGTTGCACAGTGGCAGGTTTCAGATACGCAATATTATATAACTGGAGTATTTCATTTATATTAAATGTGATACAAAGGTATATTGTCTGATTGTCTGAAACAGCCTTGTATCTGTACGTAGTCAACAACTTTTGAATCACATGAAGAAAGTTGAATTGAATAATATCTCAACAGGTCAGTTTGTATAAAATACCAATAATAAATACAATAAGCTTTAGATTTAAAAGTAACCTAATTTAATTACCCTGCAGCTTTACAATTAGTTTGTTCAGGTTTGAAGTAAAGCGGATGGAGGGAGAGATTTTGAAACGAGCCATCGTAGTGATGTGAACAGTGAACAGAAAGCATCCATGATACACAGAAACATGAATTCCTTCCACAACAATTACAAGATGATATTGTACTCTTTTGTGATGATTCAACACTTCCAGTAGCTTTCATGAACGCCGTATTAACACAATCATCTTGACTATAGATATCTGAATGAAACAACACAAAAGATCAAACAATCAAATAATGATGAATAAGTCAAGAAAAAAGAATCAGTGAATTGTTTAAACAGTAAACAGCACATATGAACAATGTAGAAATAAACACTGCTGTCCTCACGATGCCAGAGTTCATGTTAGATGTGTCATTGGAATAAAAGCTCAGCTGTTTAGCATTCACACACTCCCACATTCACACACTAATCACACGCACCCACGTTCACACACGCCATTATCATCTGGGGTTCTGCTCATTGAAACAGAACATTTGGTTCCCTAATTGCAGGCAGCAGCTGCGCTCACCGTTTGGGGAAAGACAAAAAGAGGAGAGACGTCCAGGGGAAAAAAGAAACGCACATATTCAAGGGTGGGCTGGAGGTCTGAGTGTACGCGTGAACACAGGGGGGCTGTGGGATGCTGCGAAAATTGAATTTTTTCTCCGCTGCTGCCGTTGCCTAGCAACCTGATGCACTTGACAGTAAAAGCCTTAAAGTCCCAAAAACATATAAAAAGGCAGATGGAGAAGGTAATATTTTATTCTATTTAGATAGATATGCAGACCATAGTTCAGACTGAGAGAAGAACATTTTCCAGTTAGTTTATAATCACACTAAAATAAATGTTATATTTAATCACATCTCTATGAAACCCTCACAGCCTCAGTGAGACGTTAAGGCCAAAAAGTGACTTTTCACAGGCGGATGCCGGCGGACGAGCTGGAGACACAGATACTGTCGCACATCCTCTGTTGCTTCTCAGGAAAAGGTGGGGAAACAGAAGGGCCTGAATTAGACCTGCAGTCTGGGGCAGGAGGAAAAACTCACAGGCAGCACAGCAGAGAGGAGCCAGCGGGAAACAAAGGAGACTAAATTGATTAATCCACCAAATGTGGTGGCCAAAGAGCGTAGCAACACCTAAAAGGGACCAGAAGCAGAGCGAGAAGGAGCCTTCTGCAGCGCCACCTTGGACTGTGATGGACTACAACGGGTCAAGCAGAAAGTCCCCACTGAAGCACACACCCCTTGCTTATTGGGACTGACAACATGGGTTTCTTTTGAATTGCTGGACATTGATTTTATTCCAGAGTCGAGTTCACTGTGTTTTTACGTTGTTCCATGGTTTGTTTTCACTACAGCTGACTTCACCCACAGATTTGCTTCATTGTTCACTACTTGTATTGAATTGTGTAGCCAGGTAAGCCAGCTCATCAGGTTAATACTCACCTGTTCAAAGGATCATCTTCTAAATTCGACTGGTAGAATTTCTATAATTCTTATTATCATACATACAGCATCTTTTCTAGTTTGTCTTCTTATCAGCTGGTATCTGGCAGTTCTGTTCTGAAGAACATCCTTCTGAAGATGATTCTCCTGCAGATTCACAGATGGACATAAAAACCTTAACCCTGCTTTTACAGGACTAGATGAAAACCCCTTTGAGACAAATGTGAAATGAGACTTTGTGACGTTTTGAACGGACATGTCGTGTTTTGTGATAAACAGACGTTGAGGATGATTTTATCATCAGGCAGGAACAGGGACAGGATAGTGGATCCTGGTTTTATTGCGGTGTCTCTTTGATGGGGAGCTGACCCAGACTGGAGCTTGTTCATTGTGCTTTTTAAAATTTTAAATAACCCTTTCATTATGGCATCTTTCTCAGTGTCATCATCATCTCTTCTAACTTTACCAAGTATTATGGGAACTTCACCGCATTGTGTGACCTGAGCAGCACGATTGAGTACAATGTCTTTGCTTGTATCCTGCACCAGAATAAATGCAAGGTGAAATATATCAGATAAGTCGGATACATTTAATGGAAACATTACGTAGTTTTTGTTTTCGATGGACTTATTGCGGTGCTCATGAATAAAAAGGGACACTGTGGACTCAAGGTGCTCAAGACAAAATTGAGAGCATCTACTGCTCTATAGATATCTACAGCATAAGACTCAACTAGACAACGGTTTGCAGATGGTGCTAACAGAATTTCCTGATGAAAGGATATCTCATGAAAAGTCATCGTTCTTCATCAGTTTTCCTGCTGAAGCCAAGAACACATGTCAATATCCCCCTTTTTACATACATTCTTTTCAAAATAAACTTCTGGCTTCACAGGAAACCAATAGCTTTAACCAATGAAACTACTCAGTAAAATATTATTGTTTGGGCACATGGGGAGGAGGTTGCTTATATCCATCCAACTGCCCTCAAACTCCTATGTGGCCAGAGCGTCTTGTTCCAAACACAAGCTTTTGAAGTGGAAGATAAAGACTCCTTCTCAAAAATGTATTTGTCTCTGAAATGGATAAGGCGTAAACCTTTAATGCAGATATATAATGAATATCATTTGTCATTCTCTAGCCGATAACAAAGAGTAGTTCTAGAGCTTTTAGTAGAAGCGAAGTCTCTTTGGTGAGTCAGGATGAGCAAATGTTAGAGTGATTCAACACTGCACACTCAGTCCTGAGAACAGGATGTGACAAACACGGCAATGGCACTGACTCACACCACAGTGACGCTCCAGCAGCAAACAAACACGATTCAGCTACAAGTTGGTTCAAAGGGTCAGTTCACCACTTACAAGTAATGAGTAACTTTACAAAGACACTGTTTCATTAATTGCATTTCAAACACAAAACCTTTGATCATCCTGGAGGCAGAATTCCACCGGGTGGAACATGTTGAACTAGAAACTCTTCCAATAGATTAACAGAATAGAAGTCTGCTGCCATCATGTGGCCGAGAGCATAACCCCATAATCCCATCACAGCTATCGCACAACCTCTGTTGTTGGGGTGTCCATGGCAACAGTATTCTGGTGCAGGTGAGGCTCAACGGATACAAACAACAGAGGAGCTGTTGGGAGGACGACAGGGCAAACATGAACAACCTCTTGTCCGGGTAGGAGTCACTGCTTTCTTGTTATACATCAACGCAGTTTAAACAGCTCCTCCTCAAATGTAACCAAGCTTTTTTATTCCAAATGTTATACAACAAGAATATATTTTTGGATTTGTCCGAGCAGAGATGTCCAGGTGAAGAGCATGGAGCAGACAGTGAAGTATGCTGAGCAGCACCTGGGTGAGATCTGCTCCCTGATGGCCTCCTACACCAGGAAAACAGCCAAGCTCAGAGACAAGGCAGATCTGCTGGTGGCTCAGCTCTTTGACTTCTCCAGCAGAGAGGACACGGAGGTCCAGATCGGCCTAAAAAACATAGCTGAAGACCTGGCAATGGTTCAGGACTACAGGCAGGCTCAGGTAAGGCCCACTGTGGGTGAGTAGAGATCTTAGTTGTCCTTCAATCAGAGGATCGGCAGATTGATCACTGGCTCTAATAACCGTCGGGCAAGACATTTAATCCCAACAGACAACAGCGTTTGAATGGGATAAATTGTGGTTTTCTAATGAGCAGGAGTCACTGAGAATGGCAGCTCCTTATATATGGATGTGAAAGTGTGACTCTGTCATCCCATTTTCCTACCGGTCACTCCGCTGCACATCACACTCACAGTACACTTGTGTAGAGTATCTGTCTGCCTGTGCACTGGATTTTAAGTTTATATTCTTCTATATTTAATGGTAAATCGATGTTTTCCTACACTGTGTTGATTTGTCTTGTTGTCTACACAAGTACAGTCCATTTACCATTTCAATGTCCTCTGTTTTCTGCATCAAACTATTATACATATGAATGTTGTCAAGGTGATTGCTTTATTATTGCAGGTGCAAAGACTGGAGACGAGAGTTGTTGCACCCCTAAAAGCCTACGGAGACATTGTTAAGAACAGAAGGGTAAGTTAGGTTACAGATGTCGCCAACATTGATAATATCAGCTGATTACGACGATGACTCCCGGTTTAACACTTGATTCTGTAAAGCATGTTAAAGATGTAAAACAATATTTGACCTGTGCTTCAAAACACAGCACATGAGCAGCGATAACCTCTTAGTGCAGTAGACATCCCATAATGCAACCCGCTGGGTAGGAGTCAATGTTAAGTTGTTACTCTCTCCGTTCAAAAATTATATGAGAATAATTTTGTCCCTAATATTTAAACCACTTATTGTTAAAATCAATTGCCCATCATGAAAATTGGGCCTATGGGGTAAAGAATCCTGGTCGTGACCCAAACATCCACCTCTGCCCAAGAGCTTATGCAGCATTAAAATGTCGCTCTACATTCACCTCGGTAAGTATAGTGCAGCAGTGTGGGGGGAGGAGAAAAAGGTCCAACGTTTTAGGGTGTCAGGGAAAGGGCCAATTTAAACATTTGTTCAAACAACCAGTGCTGTCTGTTTAAGTTACACACAAGACTTATGCTTTTGCTTTGTGTGTTGCATGAGCTGACAATGTGTCTACAATTCAGGCAGATCTAAAGAAGTACAGCGTTGATGTGAAAAAAGAGCTGAAGGAGTTGCAGAAATTGGAAAGAATTCAACTAAGGAACCCTGCAGATCGACAGAGCGTTGTATCCTACCGATGTTTAATTATGATGTTTTTGTCTACGTATACTTTAGTTAGGAACACTAATGTTGTATCATTTGTATCTGTTTGCAATGAGTGGAAGTACAGTTATACTTGGCACTCGTTCCCCCCAAATTGGGCAACGAAACTGGTAAACATTAAATACCAATTGAACAATTAACTGTGAACCAAAGTGGGCTGGAGGCTACGGGAAGGAGGCAAAGCTTTGGCAGGACTATGGTCGGTAACATTTGTGTAGAAAGGATCAATGAGATGGGAGTCATACCGGAGTGAAAATCCTTGCAGTGAGAGTCGGCTCTGATTGTTGTGTGGTCGATTGGAAGTGAAGGTTTAATTGGCTGGCTGTTAACTGCTGTGTTCGTATGACTCCGCCTCCTGCATGAACTAAAGATATAATTCTTTATCTGCTGCTGTGGTTATTTATAGGAATAGGCATGCAGCGGGGCTCCCTCTTGTTCCAGGTGTCTTGATTTGACCAGAGCCCTTACCGATTGTGTCCACCTGTGTCTCGTTGACTCAGCCTCCCATTGTGTACTTAACTTGAGCCCCACAGACCCCCACTGGGAGAAGACTTTGCAAAAGAATTGTCTTTAACCATGCACAGATCACAAAGTTTTATTTGATGTTGCACATCTAATTAAATGGCAGAACAGGTGCTACAAGGAGGTATACGCCGTATTTACATACTCCAAACACAACTCATAAAGACCCAACAAATGAATGACAAAATATCATAACTCCTAACTCATAGTGTGGGAGAATTTAGAAAGGTTAAAGACCAGTCGAGCTGCTGCATTCTGGATGAGCTGCAGTCAAAGTGGGCGTTTACACGGAGTTGCCAAAGTTGACCGTCCAGTCCTGGATCGGAGAATCTTAGTTCAGTTCGGTCTTGTCGGGGTTGATTTTCAGATGGTGGACGGACATCCACGGAGAGATGTCAGTCGGACAGGCAGAGATCCGTGCCGCCACCTGGGTGTCCGAGGGAGGGAAGGAGAGAATTAGAGACTTACAAACTAGACTTCACTAACATCCATGTCTGTGCAGCAGAATCGCAGTCTACCGGCAGTTTCAAAATCTTGTACCCTCTGCTTTCTCTGAGAAATTTCAGAAATTTGCCACCAGATTTACATTGACTGACTTGTCTGTTGGATTTCATAGTGATGCGTCTACAAGTAGCACAAAATGTCCAACTATTTCATCGCAAAATGCTGCATGAAGAGTAGATATTGTGATGATGAGGGCAAAATAGAAATATTTTTTGAACCAGATTGTGAAGCTGCTTTCCACGCTACGATTTCAGTGCTAACTACACTGCGCCTTACACACGCATGTACATCTCAGAAACTGTTTATGAAATATAATCAGTGATTTTGAAAAAGGTTAAAAGCTGAATCATTTTAAAATATTTTAGGTTTTGTCCAGATTTTAAAGATGGAAGAAGAAGGAAGACAAAGGAACTGAGAGTTGAAGTTTAAGAGGACTTGAGAAACGTCTCTATGGAGAATCAATGAAAGAAAAATATGAATATTGCTGAATACTTGAAAAAGTATAAGAGGTAGAAATGGATAGCACCCCTCTTTTAAACAAGATGAATAGATTGATAACTAGTTAAGTGCCGAAAAACGTACAGAAGAAATAGAATGAAGTATGAAGCTTGAAAGAACAATACTTACAATTATGTGGTAAACAAAAAAAAACACAAACCACATTATGTATTTTAAATTCTTCAAAGCAGCCCCTTTGGCTTTGACGACAGCTTTGCACTCTTCTTTCATTCTTTAAATCCGCTCTAGATTGAATTGGGTGTGAACTATGCTTTTGGCGTTTTCGAGCCATATTATTTAGAGTGGAAGTTCAGATTCAGCCCAGAAAAAACCCTCTGTGAACCAAATCTTTAAGAGAAGCCGCAAGACAGAATTTCAGATAGCATACATGTTGGTGGGTAGATTGAGTTTAGCTCCTCAGCACTACTCCGTTTAAGGCCAGTTGACATCAATCATCCCATGTTGATATATTCATACCTGAATGTGCTGCAGGTATCCAGGTATTTCATCTGGCTTTCAATATATGAAGACAAAATGAGTTTTTGATTTTAAGATACCATTCAAGTCTTAATAAATATGATGTATTAAGTAAAAAGTTCCTTGACAAGACCTTTCAGTCTCAGGTAATGTATCATCACATCACTGATCCTCGAAGCAGGTCCGACTGATGGGAGGAAAAATGTTGTGACGGTATCGTGTGTTAATCGACAGGCAGAAGTAAATGCTCAGAAGGCGTCCACCAATGCCCAGCGCAGTATCAGGCAGCTTGAGGAGACCATCAAAGACTTCCAGAGACAGAAACTGGAGGATATCAAAGTCAGTCTCACACTTACTATTCACAAACATCCTTGAGCAGGTAAAGCATTGATGTCCCACTGACAACAACCATTGCTTTGTTTTTTTGGCAGAGGATCTTCACAGACTTCATTACATTGGAGATGGTCTTCCATGCTAAAGCGCTGGAGATCTATACACATACGCACCACAGCCTGGAGGCAATTAACACTCAAAGGGATCTGGAGGTAGCACCACGTCTGATAACATGAAACAACAATATGTGATAGCTGATGTATTAAGATAAACTCACCGTACTCGACCTGCTCAGCACCAAACAGCAGTCAAGTATTGTTAGCAATTATCTATTCATCCATTCATCCATCCATCAGCCAAAAATAACCGGAATGCAACTTTAAATAACCTTCAATATTTATGTCTGCTATATTGAAACATATGAGTGATGCACATGAAGAGGAGTAGATTATGATTCTTCACCTATGATGAAGCTCAAGCAGGATGTTGAGTTGCAAAGTGGTTTTCTCTTCTTAAAGTAAGCGCTTAGGAAAGTGCTTTGCAACTTCCCTCTCAAACAGAAAGACGGGCTGAGAAAGATCCAGAAGATAAACAAACATTGTGTAGAAACATTTGAGACACAGATGCTGGGGGGGTCAGGACGAGTGCCAGATTGAAGAAATTAAATATGATATTATACACATACATAATACATAAGCCGGTGTCAAGTTTAGGACCTGACTAAAGGTACGACAAAAACTTCAGTTATGTCCTGAAGGCCATCACTCAGTGAGCCCAACAGTTCTCACCGTGTTTATTTTGCAGTCTCGCAGTACCCTACAATGCCAGAGAGGCATGGAGGAGGAGGAGGAGGAGGAGGAAAAAGAAGAAGAAGAGTTTTCTGAATCAGTGACAGAAGCAGGTCGTCACATCAGCAGGCCGTCCTATGCGGCTCGACATGCCGAGTTACGCAGATGGCAGAAGTAGAAGCCGGCCTGGTTTTCCAATGCTGAATCATATGAGCTCCCAACAGCAGAACTCACTTCCAATACACATTTGTTTCCATCATTGGTATCCCCTAGGTGGAGTCTTTACAATTATTTTACTATGATATTAATCATATAAATCTGACAATGACATATTTGTTTGTCTCAGTTATTTGCTTTAATCTGTCAACTTCCATTAACAGCTTTTTTTTCATAGGAGACAAATACTTTTTTATTGTAATGCGCAAATTCCATAATAATAAATCTGCATTAGAACTCATTCAGTTCGTCTGCCAGCCGGAGGGTGTTCCTGAGTGGGGGGTTTTAGGCTTGTAACTGGTGATCTGTTGAAGGCTTCTCCAAACATTAGCGGAGTCACTTACTGTACAGACATTTAGCATCTCTCACTGCCGTGCTAAACCTCGATTTTGACTCTGTGTTCAAGTCTTTGTCCCCACTCCTAAATGCCTGATCCTTCTGCAGGCGTAGCTTTCTGAGTTCCGCTGTAAACCAGGTTTGTCGTTGTTGTAACAGCCTCTGTGAACTCATCCAGACTGTAGCAGTCCTGAACACATCCCAGTCTGTGCAGTTCCAGCACGGCCGAAGATCCTCCAGCGCCTCACTGGTCCACTTCTTAAATGCCATCTCCACGGGTTTGCAGGGCTTTAGTTTCTGCCTGTATGCAGGAATCAGATGGACCATGACGTGGTCAGAGTGTCCCAGTGCAGCACGAGGGACGGCGTGATGAGCCCTGCTTACTGTGGTGTAACAGTGATCCAGCGTCTTCTCCTCTCTGGTGGGCATTTAATAAACTGTCTGTATTTAGGAAGTTCATGGCTGAGATTTCCTTGGTCCCCGAGGACAATAACTAAGGAGTCCGTGTTGGTCCGCTCCACACTGTATCTGGTCGACGAGTGTCCACTGTGCCTAATGCACATTTCCCGCCTGCGGAATGTAAACAGGTAACGTTGTTACATGTTATTGTAAATACTAAGGATTATAGCTGTGAGTTGGCATCTAGCATGGTTGGGGTGGCTCTCGTTGAGTCACCCCGTAGTGTTACATGGTTCCCTCTTCTCCTTCCTTCCATTGTGGTTGAACCGGTCAACTCGCCTGCTGCATTTTATAGTGTTTAGCCCTGATCGGTGTGTCCACAATTAAGCAATCTTGTGTTTACGCACCTGAAGGCTGTGTCCAACCAATTGGCACATGGGTTTGGTCATTTGACAATCAGTGCTTTGGAATTTCAATGAAGTGGCATCTTGATATACTTCTGTGTGTAAAAGTGTTGATGGCCAACTGTACCTCACCCAGCACTGACTTTCAAAAAGTCAGATACAATATGTTTTGAGGATCACTGTACATAGAGTAACATCTCAGCCCTGTAGCAGTGTTCACTGGACTTGGTGACTGCGAAATCCACTGCAAGTACCTCTCACTGGTCCAAAATGCATGAGGTTGCATGGTTATTAAAAAAGGGTTTCTCCCCACAGTCTCATAAGGCCTCCCTGCGCTTTAAAGACTACGTGGGATGGTGTCATTGGACGCATGAGTTAAAGCAAGCTGCAGAGTGACACACACATCCAATAAGAATTAGATCACTATGTGCTCAATGGTTCCCCATATGGGCAACATATGAGCCCGAGCCGGGTCAGACCAAGCTCTCATCATAAACACAGGTATGAATGCTTGGATTTTTTGGAAGCATTAGAGCCCTGTGTCAAGGATGCGTGGGGGAGGCAGGACTCAAAGGCCGACTTCTTTAGAAAATAAAAGACTTTAATTGTCAAAAAGGCAAAGGAGGCAAAAACGCACACGAACCAGGGGGAAAAAACGACAGACAGGAACTACAAACATCCACGACGATAGACAATGATGCGACAGGTGACACAAGAGACACACGGCTTAAATACACAAGGGAGGTGCAGGTGATTGGACACAGGTGGAAACTATTAGACGATCACAGGGGACGACAGGACAAGGCAGGAAGTGAAGTTACCCGGGGACACGAGTGGCAGAAAACTACACAATACAAACTACTTAATTATACTCCAAACACAACTTAAGTGTGTGGGGTAAGAGTAGGAACATATTCCATGCAGATTTGTCTCGAAATTTTGGACTTGACTAACCAAAAGTTCCATATTTTTATGATGATTTATGCTACATTACGATTGGAGACCATAAACAACGCGAGCAGAACACGGATTTACGGTAATATAAGAATAATTTCCCTCGGACAAACCATGCCGAACTTCCAGTACAAAACCCATCAAGCCATGGAAGTTAAAAAATTGTAAATGTGTCTTACCTTTGTTGTTTTTCCCAGAAATAATGGATTTAATGCAATGAGCTCTTGTTAGCGTTTAGTTAGCATTCAGAACGCGAGGCATCTCCTCACTCAAACCAAGCCCGAGAAATGTTGAGACAATTGTGTCTTTGGTGTACCTTATCACAACCCAAGGTACCTGGAAACAATTGTATCTGTGGACTGTGGAAGAGGAGGCTGAAACGCTGGACACTCACATCTGCAACCAACTTTAAAAAGTGTGGTTTGAGAACCATTAATTATTTACGTGCCCTTTTCTGTGCATTTTAAAATGAGTAGAAACGATGGAGTCTATTAAAGCAGCTTTACATGCTTCCCCAATATGATCACATGCCAGCATGTAACTAATTGTAGGGCTTTTCCTTTTGAATGTGTTTTTCCAGGGCTGTCAATCTTAATAATTCACCAGGGCTGTCAATCTTAATAATCAAAAATTTTTCTAAATCTTATAAGTATCGAATAGAAATATCACTTTAGAAAGTGTGTATTTTAGATCCTGTTATTTAATTGTTTTTTTAACACAACCACACACTCATGTAGACATGTCACAGAGAGGCACACACCCCATAGATGAGCTGTTGATACAGCGATGCTGATCCAAGACTTCCCCATTTGAACATGGGATTCTGTTAAATGCATAGATATTTCATATCTATTGTGCTGTGCTGTATAAATGCTGTGGTCGACTTCAAGAAGAAGATGGGATTCCCATCAAAGAGATGAGTGACCACTTCCGATACGTGATAAGATGGAGGACTTGGATACAGGGTATGTCATTATTTCATTGTGATTCATTTAAATGCAAAGTTCTTCATTGATCACCCATTCTCGTCAATGTAATATTGCCTGTTCCCCTTTTAGGCTGTCCTCTGAACATATCCTAGGATACATACGAGGGGCTGGAGGATCTATTAAAAAATAAAGCCCGGGAGATTGAGACACAGATGAAGGAGGCGTTCAGCATTTACAGATTAATACACTGCATACAAATGTTTTTTGGAGAAATACACACCAGCTTCGATTGTTTTTGTTTTGAGTAGAAATAGTTTTAGATAGAGTTGGTGAGAGGTAGTATATTTGCATATCTAATGCAGACATTAACAACTTCCAGAACAAAGAAAAATAAGAGGAATTTCAGTATCTTTTTTCACATTACATTTTTATGTTTTTAGATTTCTTCATTCATTCAGGTCAGTGTATATTTACCCAGCGTTCTTTAACTTGCAGCTAGTATACAATTTCAATTTCTCAAATGTCAAACATTATAATGCTGTCAGCCCAAGACTAAGAGCCGGAAAGCACACGATGACAATCAGTCATGTTTTTATATGCAGGGAGGTTTTTGATGGAACCCACTGCCCTATACCTATACATCAATGGTAATTGTATAAGTTCTTCCTCAACTCTTCAAACATTATTGAAATTGAATACTAGTACATACCCTGTACCACCCTGGGACCCCACCTTCATTGCTGTAAACTCGAGTTTGCATCTCCTCACAGACCTCAAATCCTCAACAGCAAACACAATGTTTCCACCATCCGTTTACCATGCGCAGATTTTGTGGAAAGAAGTTATCTTAAAAAAATGAATTGGTGTTGGTCGTACAAAAGGAGCTGTTGATGTTGAAGAATGTCTGTATGATCTACACCGTCAATAAAAGCACACTTGTGTCATGTGTCATGTTTCAACGGTCCACCAATTGAAGTACTTTACATAAAATAAAGAAAAAATCTTTCTTTTGAAAATCGTCACAGAAAATGTTACGTTTTTGAGCTTAAACTTTAGACGTCACTTGCCAATCATAAGAAACTGGTTGAGCCTGAAAGTTAAACCTACTGCCAGGCTAAAGGCAGGTCCCCATCAATATGTTCCCAAACGGTAACTTAATATTGGCTGAGAACAACACGTGAGCACGAAATGAGATATTAATCAACACAACTGACGGTCACATTTATAAGCTCAGGAATGTTTAATATTCCATTGGTCAGAGGCTAAAACAACATACTGATGAAAGGAGCACATTTCACTCAATGCACTTCGAATTACTGAGCTGCACTGATCTGAAATTAGATTATAGTGGAGACCAGGAACACAAAGCAGGAATACTAGCGATTGTAGATAGAAGAACATCTGATTGTGATGCTGTCAGCTCAGCAGCACATAAAACCTCACTCCCTCAATCGGGTTAAATATAGCAGGGTTCTTCAGAGGTAAAAATATATTATTCACAGTAGTTTATCATCACATCCATGCATGCCATTGTAAGTTATCCATTGCAATCCTCAAATGGCACTTATAAAAGAAAAAAATTACTTTTCTTCCCGTTTCATTGACATGGTTGGAGTGGAGGACTCAAGGTGTGTTTATGGATTACTGCTGATCGTTTGAAGGAAAAACTCCCAACCTGTAATACATTAAAGCTGTTCTTCTTGCGTTTGACGACATGTATCACACATTTGGATAGATTCACAAAACACAGCAGAAATCATCCTAATTATAATTATCTGCACATTGAAAATAATTATCTATCAATTTATCCTTTTTTTCCACAGACACAAAACAAACAAATATAACACTATTGCCTGTCACTGTGATCACTTGGCATCTGTGAAATCATAAAACAATTTAACAGTGTAAAAAAAGATACAATGTTCACAGAGGCAGCACAATCAGGAGTCCCACGCTCACTCACAGCAGTACAGTAGTATTATAAATACCAATCCGCGCTTCATTGAGGGTGGTGTAGTAGTTGTAGTAGGATGTTAAGCGAGAGTCCACTCCCTGTTTGATTCAGTGTAGGAAACCATTCTTCAAGTCTGATTGTTAACCAACCTATAAAGTGCTTTCATAGAAGGATCTTCTCCTCATTATAATCATCATCATCTATGCAATATATTGGGATGTCAGTTGTGGCAATGAGTAGGAAAGAAAAGGGACTATTATAAAAAGGTCAATCAGGCACGAGCTGAATAGAATTATCTCCCTCTGGTCCTTCTCTCCACAGCTTTCTCCTCTGGTGTGTTGTCTTTACTTCTTGAATGGTGTCAATCTGCCAATATTGTGCCAGAACGTGGACGTTTTGCGCTTGGGCTCAGCCAGCATGAAGACTTGCTGCTGTGGCAAAGCAGTTGGGAGAGAGGGGTGTTTCTGTCGCATAAGGAAGTCATAGTAGGGTCTGGTCACTGCTGAGGAGGAGATAAATAGCATTATTTAGCATGCTTATGAAAAAAAGGAATCAGGAAGCATATATTGATTCTATATTCGGTTACATTTGACCTAACAACAATATAGTCTTGTACACAGAGTCAAAATACAGGTTTAGCAAGGCGGCTTAATGACTGTACTCTGAGAAACGTTAACCACAGTATCAGCATGTGACTCTGCTTCGGTTTCGGAAGCCAAAAAACTCCACCTGCAAGTGGATCACAGACTTCCTGTCTGACAGGAAGCAGCAGGTGAAGCTGGGGAAACATGTCTCAGCCTCTCGGACCATCAGCACCGGTTCCCCCCAAGGCTGCGTTCTTTCCCCTCTGCTCTTCTCCCTGTACACCAACAGCTGCACCTCCAGCCACCAGTCCGTCAAGCTCCTGAAGTTTGCGGATGACACCACCCTCATTGGACTGATCTCTGGTGGGGACGAGTCCGCCTACAGGTGGAGTCTGACCATCTGGTGTTGTGGTGCAGCCAGAACAACCTGGAGCTCAACGCTCTAAAGACAGTGGAGATGGTTGTGGATTTCCGGAGGAACAGAGCCCCACCCTCCCCCATCACCCTGTGTGACTCCCCCGTCACCATTGTGGATTCCTTCCGTTTCCTGGGCTCCATCATCACCCAGGACCTCAAGTGGGAGCTGAACATCAGCTCCATCACCAAGAAGGCTCAGCAGAGGTTGTTCTTCCTGAGGCAGCTGAAGAAACTCAACCTGCCAAAGACGATGATGGTCCACTTCTACACGGCCATCATGGAGTCCGTCCTCTGCTCCTCCATCAGCGTCTGGTACGCTGCAGCCACAGCCAAGGACAAGGGCAGGCTGCAGCGTGTCATCCGCTCTGCAGAGAGGGTGATCGGCTGCAATCTGCCGTCCCTGCAGGACTTGTTCGCTTCCAGGTCTCTGAAGCGAGCTAAAAAGATCGTGGCCGACCCCTCTCACCCCGGACAAAAACTGTTTGTGCCCCTTCCATCTGGCAGGAGGCTGAGGTCCATCAGGACTAAGACCTGCTGCTGTTTGTGTATATGAGTGCTTATATTATTCTTGGTGAGGTGACCCATGTCCAAGCCATGGGATAGAGAAAGAACATATTTAGACTGAAATTGCAAACACTTAAGGTAGGTTTTGTATTTCCTTAATGCTTGGTGAGTACCTTTGGGTTTTCCAGCTGGATGGGTTTTGCGGGCATTAAGCATAGCCTGTTTCTTCTGGACCTCTGTAAGAGAAAATCCTGAAGGAGAAAAAGTAAGTATCATTATGAAGTCAGGATTAGCTTTTTAGCCCACTATCATCAGTATCTGTAGAGCATACTGCTCCATTTGTTACAGTGGGGTCATTTCCCATTTTTATTTTGTATTTTCCTGTCTCTTGTGTCCCTGGGCTAACTTCACTTCCTGCCCTGGTGTGTTTTTCCCTCCTTTTCTCCCGGAATCACCAAGATCAGTTATGACATCACTTGTATGAGCGCTATCGATGCTGCCAACAAAGAATCATTTACTTACAAAAAGTGATTTTGGAACCTTAACAGTACATGGTGAACACCACACGCCGAAGGATGTCAGAACAACATAAAATATGTACAATACGTTCAATTCAAACGAGTTTATTTGCCGTAGTGCTGTAAGAGAATCAAGGTTTTTGATAATCGACTCTTCCCCTTTTTAAAGTAAGACGCGCACGCAGGATTACCCTGATGGCAAAAAACGAGGCTGTTTGAGAGCGGATCAGTCTTTGAGCAACTGAGATAGCCAGACATCAATCAGCGGGTTAATTGGAGCTGGCCAATAGGACATTTGATTGACTTTGTGGAACCACGTACAAGAAACAAGTCCCTGATCTGATTGAGATCGCACGATAACACACGGTAATAATAATAATCCAATGTCGGCAGTAGCTTCAATTTGGCATCTCAATGCTGATTGGCCAACCATAACACCTCAAAGATGTTTTATTGGGAAGTTCACGACATCGCCTCAAAACAGCAAACATGGGACTGTTTTATTCACGTCGATTTTTCCTCATTCATACTGGCGTAGTGTGTTGGCACCTGTGTCGGTGACATGACATCCATTGCGTTCTGTCCAGCAAATTTTCACACCGCTTTACTTACGTGAGCTTACTTGACCGGATATTTGTGGTCATTCGCACACTAGCTTCATTTACGCCGGACGGGATGCGTGGCTTATCTCCGTAAAAGTAGTTATCATTTCTGCTATCCACCATGGAAATAACCCCTATTTCTGCCCTGCCTTGTACTTGTCGGAACCGTAAACCCCCTCCTGTTTGGGTTCATAACATCATTTGGATTCTGGATGACTGCCGCTTCCAGCGCTACTTTGGGTTGACCAGTAGCCAGTGTATAACCATCAACTGGCTGGTGTCCAACCAGTTGATGGTTGGACACCAACTACAGGCGTTCAATCTCAGCTGTGGAGCGCTGTCTGTCTCCGGTGACTGGCTGTTTCATAAAATATCTTCATGCATTGGCAAACAATGTCAGGCAAATTTTTGAATTTCTTTTAAATATTTAAACTTGCGCGAATGTGCAAATTGTTGTTGTTCACAACCGATTGTGTCTGCGCATTGACTTTAAATGGAATCTACCCGCAAATAATTTGCTTAGCTTTTGGTGTGAACGCAGCATCACTGGAGAGGAGCGATTTGTATTTTTTGGGGTATTCCCTCCCCCATATCTCAGCCAATTCTGGCTCGATTTGAAAGCCCCACCTCTCCTTTTAATCTTCGAAGCCTATCGAATTGAACTAGACACACGTGGAGAAGAGCAACAGATCCCCTAGCCAGTCAGAAGCCAAGACATAGAGTGGGGTATGACGCTCAACGCTGACTTCACGCTGAAGTTCAAAGGATCCCCCCCCTGACCCTCAAAATTGATCCTCAAATAGGATTATTTGTGAGTAACACAGAACGTCCGGTGAGCATTTAGCATTTAAATCATACATTTTTTTGTTAAACGCCAGGTGCGGAGGAGCATTTGATTGAAAGCGGTAATGTAATTTCTGTGTCTTGTGTTCGTTAACTTATAACTCGAAAAAAGCATGTTGAAACAGTTCAAATGGCTTTGTAGCCCAGTCTCTAATACTTTTTGTTGATTCAAAAACGTTTATTAAATAATTGTCTTCTAAAGACTAAATCTTACTTAAGTAACAAGTAATCACTTTAAAAGGTGTGTATTTTAGACACTATTGTCTTTTAAACACAAATCTACACACATGTGATCTTGGAGGGCGAATTCCGACGGGTGGAACATGTTAAACTACGACTCGTGCACTTTCCTGTGCTCTAAACTCTCCAGCATTTGACGTGTTTCCAGAGCCAACAGTGCCCCTACATTCAGCCCGGACGTTTTTAAACCACTGTCTTTTAGGGACGCAGTGGTGGTACATGTCGAGATGGAAGTAGCCTAGCAGCTAGCTTAGCCTAACAGCTTTCCAGCACTATCAGTCCTAAAGTGGTCCGTTTCCACTCGGAGTCTCTCTGGGGTTGAATCAGGCAGCGACAGACTGTTGGCTTTGGCCACGTGAAAGCTTTATTCACAATAATACTAAATATTCATGCTTGTGATTCACACTTTGACTGCACTGGGTTTCGTTTTAGGTTCTCTTTTTGAATAAACATCTTTTGGTACAGATTGAACGGACGGACCGAGTTTTGGCATGGCGCTTCCAGAGATATCAATTTTACCTTTTTTATTAGTTCAGAAAAGGTGAATCAACCAGGCTGGTTATCTTCTCAGTATATGTCAATAAGGATCTCATAGGTGTGCTGTACTCAACATCTGTCCAACGCATTCGTCATGATTATTTATTGTGTGTATATCTGACCTGTCTCGCAGTCATGCTGGACCTGAATCCTCTCATCAGCGAAGGCTCTCAGCCAGCGCTGTTTCTGCTCTGGCTTCTTTGAACAAAGGAGGTGGGTTTCGTCACCAGCCAGTGCCTGCAGCTTTAAGGCGTTTTTCACGCTGATGTTAAAGTCCTTCTCCTTGCCGTCCTCCACGTCTATCACCTGCATGCAGTCCATGTCCATCCTACCCTTGTAGTACAGCATATCCCGCCGCAGGAGGTCCTGCAAAAACAAACACTTTTTAGCCAGAAATCATCAAGTAACTAACCCATGGAACCAAAAAGAGATAACATGGCTGACTGATTAACGGTGTCTGTCATGCTACAGGTGTGCACAGAGAGAGCGATAATGTAAAGTCAATGTAGACACAACTCTTTGGTAAAGGAAGCATGGTCTACTGAAGAAGAGAGCTGGGCAAAATATTTCCATTTTAATGAAATAATGGTGTAATGTATGCACTTTTATTATTATGAGTTATGGTTAGCTGTCCTCTGACACAAAGAGGCTTATGGGCCAGAAGTTCCCAATCTACACAGTCTTGAATCCAATCCAGTTGTAGGTATTTAAAAGTTCACTCCATTTTAGTGTATATTTTTATCTATTAATGTAATGCTTAATCAAGATATTTCCAATTATTACTGATACTACCAAACTACATATACCACAGAGCTCTCAGGTGTCAGCATTGAGCGTGACAGTCACTCATTTAGTCACGCACTCCCGCCACACATCCAATTTCTCACGCCTAAAAAAAAATCCCAGCCACGTTGTGAAACGTGAATGAATATCATTTATAGGAAAATATTGATGTCATCACAAATACAAGCACATGTTGCTTTGGTATTTCCTCTCTTGCATCCAAGATCTGCAACAAAAAAAAATATAGGGACTGCCCTTTGAGTAGATTTGAACACATGTGGCCTTGTGACTTTACATTTAACAGATTATTATGTATTTATGATATATAAAAATGAATCACCCATCTCTTGCACATTCTAGTTTAGGACCTACGTATTCAATAAAAGCAACACTATTCCAAAAAGAAAATAGGTCTGTTAGTCTTTTAGTCTCTGTCCTGCAGATTAATGTATTCAGAATTCAACAGGGAATTTACATGCATTAGAATGCATACAGGTGATATCATTATGGGATTTGCATTTCAACCCATCCATCCATCCATCCATCTTCAACCGCTTATCCGGGGTCGGGTCGCGGGGGCAACAGCTCCAGCAGGGGACCCCAAACTTCCCTTTCCCGGGCCACATCTACCAGCTCTGACTGGGGGATCCCAAGGCGTTCCCAGGCCAGTGCAGAGATATAATCTCTCCACCTAGTCCTGGGTCTTCCCCGGGGCCTCTTCCCAGCTGGCCGTGCCTGAAACACCTCCCTAGGGAGGCGCCCAGGGGGCATCCTCACCAGATGCCCAAACCACCTCAACTGGCTCCTTTCGACGCAAAGGAGCAGCGGCTCTACTCCGAGCTCCTCGCGAATGGCTGAGCTTCTCACCCTATCCCTAAGGGAGACGCCAGCCACTCTCCTGAGGAAACCCATTTCGGCCGCTTGTACCCGTGACCTAGTTCTTTCGGTCATGACCCATCCTTCATGACCATAGGTGAGGGTAGGAACGAAGATTGACCGGTAGATTGAGAGCTTTTCAACCCATGTTTCTCCAATAATTTTGGTCATTTAACCTCAAGGCCACTCATGACGCAACACAGCTGTTCAGATGGGAAGTTAAAAAAATGAAGGTGGCAAACAGAAAATATTAAGCTGAGGAGCCTGGGAGGTGAATGCGTTGTTAATGTAAGCTTACTATCCACAGGCAGAGGTACTGCCCCCTTTCCTAACGAGGATTCTTTACTCATGCCGCCATCAGCTTAATTTAGTGAAAAATGCTATTTCACCTTTTTGCAGTAGACCATCTGATGATCAAAGAGGAAGAACATTCTCTGTTGACTCTTGGCATGAGGATGGGAAAGCTTGCTCAACTCTCCTGAGAAAATGAGATCAGAGCTCCTGCTAAGGACGTCTTCTCCCTGCATGGGTCAGAACACACACAGACATAGCTGTTACTTGTTACCTGTCCTGCTGGTCTATCGAGCAGAATAGAGGAAGAAAATAAGATCAGAACAATTTTCTTGCCACACCTCCCAGTCCTCGATGGAGCTCTGCCACTGGGCAATCTTGTCAATGTTCTCAAGACGCCGTTTCCGCTCATTAATCAGCCTGGCCACGTTCTTCATGGCATTTAAGGCGGCCTCCACATCTGTGTAGTCCCTAATGTGCAGAGAGTGACAAGCAGTCGGTGTGTAAAGGTGAAGTTCAAGGATAAGTCTTGTGACATTTCATATTTTCTCATCGACAATCAATGAAAAGACCAATCCAACCACAAATGTATCCTACCAACATTAATTGTTGTCCTGATATCTCTTCTTTTCTCTGGACCATGTAATCATGTACCAAGATGGCGCAAGATACCTTGTTTAAAAAGTAAAACATAAGTAAAAAAAATGACAGGAACAATGCGTTTTCCCTTAAACACCAACGGTGAGGAGCATTTAAAATTGAAAAGCTATAATGCGATTTTCGATTTTCGTTTTTTTGCTCTTAACTCAGTAATCGTTGTCTCAGTAGATGTCTTACGGATAGATGTGTAATCTGTGTGTAACCAGCTTGCTTTTTGCCGTCTGTTTCTTTGTCAGCATCTAGCTTTGATCGCTAGGTCATGAAATGCGCCGAGTGTGTTCAGTTTTGGCGTAATATGGATATGATATTTTAATTGTTGTTGGAGTGTTTTGAAGCGTGTCCTAACAGTTTACTTGGCATTGTACCCCAGGCTCTAATGTTTCTCCTTGTGTACGACATTAGTTTTTCATTACTGCCTTTTTATTCTACAGTATGTGGTAGAATTTTCGGGGATCACAAGGCGTTGTCCACCAAGGGGGCCCCTGGGGTTAAATAAAATGTATTAAACAACTGTTTCCAATGTCAAAAAGATGGTTATTAATAAGTTTTATGCATTCGTTTGTCATATACAACACACGATATGCATCTAGCCATGTGCATCAGTGAGAGCTGGGTCATATAGAGGAAAGAATAACAGTAATTCAAGTGTGCACAAATGGATCTCTTGAAATCCTTATCTGTAGGAACACATTGAGAGTTTGCATTCACCTGTGTTGTGGGTTGGTGTATTTTAAAAGTTCAGCCAGCTGCAGTGGGTACTTGCATATCTTCTGAACTGGAGTAAGCAGGAAGCCATCCAAGGAAATGTCGATCATCTTCTGGAGGAGTCGACAGGCTTCGAAGAAGAACACATACTTGTTGACCTTCACGAGTTTAGAGAGCTGGATGCAAGCATTGGGGTGGTTGTTACAATACTCTGAGTAGATCTGGAAATCCGTTTGCTGCACATAAAAAACATCAAAAAAGAGTTAGAAGCGGTTATATTTTGGGAGTAGAGTAGTTACTGCAAGAAAATTCTTCACAAAGTATAAACGTATTTGTTTTGGAAAACCAGGAGAATAAAGTGTGATGATGTAGAAACGTGAAGGTTAATAACGCAGTAACCTTTAAACCAAATCTTGTGACTGAGTTATTAAGGATGGGTTATGGTTAAGAATTTAGCTGGTGCCTCTATTACAGCAAATTCACCACCAATCAGTGTTGATGCACTTACACACCAACTACTTTATTTTGTTCTCCAGAAGTGGGTTAGTAGTATAGTTCTTCAGTGGTAAATGCTATGTAATAGATAGTATTCATACAGTCTATTTTTCACCTGTTTCAACCTCCTATTCTATTTATTTTCTTTCCTGGGTCTCCAGAGGTCCTATTATTTATTTGGCTGTGTGGTTATGATGATATGGGCTATTTTGTAATATGTTAAAAAGGGCTGCACGGTATGGCCAAAAATCCATATCACGGTATTAAAAAGGATTCTGACGGTATCCCGGTATATCACGGTATTGCTTTTTCAAGTAAACACATTAATTTATTGACCCTCGAAAAGGACCGGGCCGCCCGCTGGCCAACTTACCCACAGCTGGCCGACGAGTTAGCGTGTTAGTTTGTTTGTGGCTGCTAGTTTGCCACCAGAGACTAAACAGACTTTGCAATAAATCGTTTTCTGATCTAGCTTACGTCGGATTTCCCAAAACCCTCCAAACACACTGAGCTCCTCTGTTGGGCACAAGTTGTGTTGGTGCCTCTCTGGTCTCTCGTTGTTCCTCCTGTATCGCTCTTTTCTGTGTTTTCATGTAACGTTACCAACAGCAAGAGTTACTTGTTGTTGTGACCTGTACCCAGCATGCAGTTTGGCGGGGTAATTTTTATAAACGTACAATTATTAGTGTTAAAAAATTTTTATGTGCCACAAGGTTTGTGGTGGTTTACCCTGTTAAAGAGTGTTTGTTGCGCGTTATTCATTGACTCTCAACACACATAAGACAAGTAGCTCCGGCCGCCAGGCGCTCCTCCACGACGTGTAGAAATAAATTCTGCCGCCCAACATCGCGTAATACCGGTATGAACAGTATACCGTGCATCCCTATGTTAAAAGAATATATGTATGTATATGTAGTATTAATATAGAATAGCAAATGTAGTTAGTAAGTCTTTCCCTGGTTGCCCTATAGATGGATGGGGCCCTAGTTGTCTGTACCTATCTGGCTCCCACTCAGCTTACGTGTTCAAGGAAGCAGCAACCGATCTCACTGAGGTGCGGCTGCTCCTTGTTGAAGTTCTTCTCCAGGCCTTTCAGGAACTTCCTTTGGAATCGGTATATCTCTTCAATATTGCCAAAGATGGTACAAAGCTGCTCTTCAGTGAACATATCCGTCCTCTTGCGGCACTGTTTGACGTAACCCTGATAGAAACAGAAAAAGGATCAATTAATGCTTCACAGACATGGACTGCCAAACACAACATATGAATAAATACATCATTAGATCACAGATAATTCCCACACAATAAGCCAATACGATTATCTGCAACCTGAGAGTCAATCAGAGAATAGAGTTTCTCTACGGTTGGGTTTATTGGACCCAAACAGCACGAGAACCTGAACGGTTATTTATAATTTAGAATGATTTAGATAGTTTGGCGAGACAATCCTAAATTATATAAGCAGGGCGTCCTTAATGAGCAGCTTAATACTCATTATTAATATCAACAAAAATTAAAACAACCTCAGGTTTCTCTTCAGCACTGTAGCCAGACTGAGAGTCACAATCCTTTAGACCAGGGGTCTTCAACGTTTTTCAGGCTAAGGTCCCCCAAACTGATGGCGAGATGGAGATGGGGGTCCCTACCGCCTATTCTATGACTTTGGTCCGCCATCTTTTATTTTTGAGCTTTGCGCTCTTTAGACGTGAGCATAAACGCGATCTGATTGGCTAGTTCCTGTGCTGTCGTATTTGCATGAAAGGTGCTGAGAGTGAACCGGTGCCTATTGGATTCACTGGAATCTGTCTTTGTTGACATACCACAGCCCTTCAAGCTAGCTGTAATTAAACCCCTTCCTAAGAAACTCCTGCTCCAGAGCTACAGCTTCCCTTTCTCTCTAAGATCCTTAAGAAAGCAGTCGCAAATAAGTTGTGTGACACTACATAACAAGGGCTTGTTTGATGATTTTTAGTAATGATTTAGAGTGCATCATTGCAAAGACACAGCACAGGGGAAAATTTGACACCATTGATCATTGAATCCTGTTAGAGAAACTCGAACATTTAATTGGCATAAAACGAACCGCACTCAGCTGGTTTAAGTCGTACAGTGCCTTGCATAAGTATTCACCTCCCTTGGAATTTTTCCCATTTTATAAGGTTACAAACTGGAATTCAAATAAACTTCAACAACATCAACACAACATGCATCGTACTTTGAAGGTGAAAAAGTAATTGTCACTGTAATCAGTGGCATAAGAGGTCTGAAAATTACAGTAATATAGTTTATCGCAATTCATTTTGCTGCAATATATCGCACAACAAAAAGTAGTTATTGTGACAGCGGTTGCAGTGTTATGTTTCCTCAAACCCCTAATCAATCCCAGTTTGTGTTTGTAAACGGTGGGACCTTGACGACTGCCATAGTTTGTCATGGAGTTCCACAAGGTTCTGTGCTTAGACCGATTGTATTCATCCTGTATATGCTTCCTTTAGGCAATGTTATTAGAAAACACTGCATAAACTTTCATTGTTATGCAGACGATACTCAGTTGTATCTATCGATCAAGCCAGACAAGACCAGCCAACTCGTTAGACTTTAAGAATGCCTTAAGGAAATAAAACCTCGAGGACCAGCAACTTCCTGATGTTAAACAGACAAAAGAGGTTATTTTATTAGAGAAAAACAAAAATACATTTTTAAGTACAGCCGTTTTTACATTGTAACACTTATAAAATCATGCACTTCCTGTCCCAAAACAAAGCGGAAAAGTTAATCCAATTCCTTTTTATCAGGCTGTTCTAATAAGTCTCTCAAGCCTCTCCAGTTGATTCAGAAAGTTGCACTATGTATATTAACACGAGCAAAGAAAAGGGATCATATTACTACTTTATTAGCTTCTCTGCACTGGCTCCCCGTTAAACCAAGAATAGAATTTAAGGTAAATTAGTCATTTGTGAGTTTGGGGTTTAGACACAATCTAATACTGACCTCACAGATGTCCTTGAGGTGCTTGATGTAGTCTCTCTCTGTGCTCATGATCTCATTGATGACATTGGTCCTCATCTGTTCTTTGCAAGGTAAACCGGGTCCCAGAATCGCGCCCAGACCTTCCCGGTTCTCCTCTCCAGCATGTGCGTCCTCCAGGTGGGTAAGATAATCGTCCATGGGCTCATCTTGGTTCACACGCAACTGATAAGGACACAAGTAAGTATTAAAACCCCAAGAAGAATTTTGGTTTTCCCTCACCGTGACATCTATTTTGTTTTCGAACATGAATATGAACTGCAATTGAAATTTGTGAAAGCTTCTTGTTTACAGTTGTGCTAGTAATTTAATAACTATTTTGAGTAGCCTAAAATCCGTCAAGACATTTAATGTGTTTTTAATTACTTGGACCCATGTGTGACAACATAACATGCTTATCATGTGCAAAGTCCTGTTGAGAATCCGCTGACAATACTATCAGGTTGGCAGCAGGAGTCATTAGTCAGACGTTAAAGTCATATGGACAGTCAATTTGTGTCTCCTCAAGCAGTCAGGACAGTTTATCTCACCCGTACAAAGCTGGCAGGGAACCAGCCCTCGCTGTCCATGATGCGACCCCACCACCACTCCTTGTTAGTGGCGTCCACTACTTCGATGACATCTCCGGCCTTGAAGCCCAGCTCCTGGTCATCCATTGTGACATGGTCCCACAGGGCCTCAGCATACACCACACTGCCATCACTGATCAGCTGCAGAGGACACACCACAGAGCAGTGGGACTTTAATCCAAACCATGAATATCAAGGGTCAACAACTAGCCACAAAAAGTATTATTAAATTATATGAATCGTCCGTTCACATACATGGAACTACGGAAACGGCCCGCTTCAAATCCCAGCAGTTACTTGTTTGTGATTCAGACTCTCCTCAGAACAATTGACCCCTAATTCTGCAAGCCCCGCCCCCCAGCCCTCTATAGCGCCGCTCCCAGTAGTTCCCACTCTAGTGAACCCATCCCTGGAAACCTGGGTAGGTGCAAGGGTTTCCATCTCCAGTGTTCTCTGGTCTTTACGCCGTTGACCTTCCCCTCGAAAGTTTCTGAAGTACATTATATTTTGGGGCTGTTGAGAGGAATGCTAATTGGATTGGGGGGAAGCCGTTGACTCTAATCTCCCAGTTGCTACCCTTTCCTTTGAAGACTTTATTTGCAGGATGAAGAAGGTTTTCGACCCCCACATGTGGGTACTTGCGGCTATAGGCTTGCTTAACGTCTACCATGGTTCCAGAACTGTGGCTAATTACTCGGTGGAATTTACAACACTGGCAGCGAATTCCAGTTGCAATGAAGAGGCATTGCAGAGAAAGTTTTTCAACAGCCCCAGTCTGTTGACCAGCTACCACTTTTCATCACCACCCTAAGCTAAATGGGGAGTGCAACCACCTTCCATGGCTCCATCTCCTGCTCCTCCCAGTAAGGAGCCCATGCAGTTGGGCGAAGCTCATTTTTCTCCCACTGAACAGCTGCACAGGATAAAGGTGGGTGAGTGCCAGACTGGTCACTTTCTTGCTCTCTGTCCATGACACTAGCCGCCTTTTTGTGTGGAGTTTGCATGTTCTCTTTGTGTCTCTGTGGGTTATTTCCAGATACTTTGGCTTCCTCCCACAGTCCAAAGACATGTTCTGCCGATGAGGTTAATGACTCTATATTGCCTGTAGGTGTGAATGTAAGAGTAAATGGTTGTTTGTCTCTATTTTAGCCCTGCGATTGACTAGTGACCAGTCCAAGGTGGCGCCCGATGTTAGCCGGGACTCCAGCCTCCCTTGACTCTTGACTGACAGTCCAGGGATCAAGTTATTCTGATGCGTCCTGAAATCACAGTGACTGTGAACCAAATCTCAGGACCAACCCTCAAAGAGTTTGTGAGACATAAATAGTTATAAAGTGGAAGGGAATTTTGATGACTACCACATCGCTACGTATGTAGTGAACCTAAAAAAATAGAATTGCTTCCATTAAATGTTTCTCCAAACAACCTAGAGGAACCTTTATGGACCCTATTGAAGGGGCACCCCACCAATTCTGCATGTGAAATGATCAAAATAATGATTATATAACGTCTTGTCTTTGAGCTGTATAAAACTATAGAAACAAAATGTTGTAATTTTAAGTAGAAAACCTCCCTTAACCAATTAACTGCCAGAACAAGGCACTTTCAATATTGGTGCATAATGTGTACTCCATAGAATTAGTATCACAAACAGTATCGGTGTGGGATACAGTAAAGGTTTAGGTTAGGCCCACACACACACACATCCAGGCTCATCGTGTGGAATGACAAAAAAAGACTGAGAAGACAGAAAAAGGCTGTGAGACGAGCCGACAGAGAGAACGATCAAAAGGAGACCGGCGAGCCAGTGTTATTTATGAAGACACTGCAGTGGTCATATTTCATTCCGCCTCGTACATACTGCCAGGTTCTCTGTATCAACATGGCCGAGCGTCCATTATGCTGCTCAGACCCTCATTCCTGCAGACAACAGATATCCTGCTGGACCACATCAGCCAACCATCCTGCTATCACAACGTTTGGAAGTCTTTTCACACAACCTCACTAGTCTTATTAAAGACATTTTACTTTCCATTTGCTATCTGGCGAGCCAAACAGACGATATGGCTGTTGCTAGGCAACAAGCATCATCTTGCCTCTCTGCTGCCCTTCTCTCTACGATCCTCTTTGAAAAATGTCCTCATTAAATGTGATTGTAACTGGCAGCCTACAGGTTGCTGTTAACAGGTAAAGCATCATGAAAGTGCTAATTGAGCCCGGCTGTGTCACTATGGGAACAATGGCTAATACAGGCGCACATACACACACTAGCGGCTGTGCTACCTATCCTAAGGTGTGCAGCAGAGTTGGCTGGGACTTATCGGACTGAGGGGCTCATTAGCTGCTCCTGGCCACACTTCTAAACACATCAGACTGTGGAAATGACATGTGCTTTGTTCGATGACACATCTATCTAGCTTTTGTTGAGTCTTTGGAGTGAGTTCACCTTGACAGGCCAATCATTGTATTAAAGTGACACAAAAATACACTCTGGTTAAACTGCTTACAGCCTAAAGGCTCAGAGCCTACGACGATGGTTCCCAACTGGATGTAGTCATGTACAATCAAGTGATGCCCTCAAAACGCTTTGGGTCAATCTGCTCTTAATGCACCAAATACTGCAACACAGGTAGTCTCAGAGTGACTGCAATGCACCGGACTTGCTACCAACTACGTACCAACTACTACACACATAAGTGGTAGATGGGTGGAACCCGGTACTTTCACCCAGGAGACCACTGTGTGTGTCCTGTACAAAACTACAAGTACATGTTGACTTGTGTGTCACTGACTGACACTAGTCATTGATGAATAATTGAGATGTACTGTAATTATTGCACATAAAGTGACCGTAGCAAATACTTTTACATGACAAGGGAGTTTACAAAGAAGGACATTTATTTTTGAGACCTTAAAATAAATAAAGTAGTCCATGAATATGAGTTATAGTGGAGGTTGGTTTTCAGCCAGTTACATCTACTCATTGTCTTTTCGATTCTTCCGTTTATTTAGACAAAACCCAGAACAATTAACATCATCCACACTCGTAAAGCCAATTTAACAACTGTCCTTTAAACCCTGACTTCCATTGAAGATGGACGTGTGTTTCGGGCATAAAATGGCTTGAACTAAAGGAGCGTTGATCGGGTATTAAATGTGTAACGTGTGAACAGGGTAGCGGTGAAGAACGACACATGGCACAGTGGTGTTTCCCCGGTAAGAAAAGGAGCCATTTCTACAGACACACAAGTTGTGAGATCAGCTTACACTTGTACACAGGAACATGAACATACTTATGATTTATATATTCTCTTTTCTCTGCCAGCTCAGGCTCCAGTTTTGCCTGAAGGCCACCCAACAAGATTCAGATTTGGATTATATTAATATATAGTAATCACCAAATGTTGTGCCAAGGCAGAACATACAAATGTCCTCTTTACTCGCAGCGGCTTCTCGTCCAATAAGAAGAGTTGAAATGGAGCCATTTCAAAGCAGGTGGAGGATTGATATTGTTTTCATGTGACTGCTTCCTGTTCCACCTGCAAGCGTAAAGCTGCTGTTCTCCATGAAGACCACCTCCAAGGGCTTTAGTACAACGGGCCACGAAGAGTCCCGCTGTAGCAGACGAGTGTTACAGCAGCACCCTGAGAACACCGAAAGGGTTTGATTGGGCCCGTTGCTTCATTACCTACATGTCATCCCTGCAAGATCAGCAACAAACATCCGTGTCAGCGGTGACGTTTTAGTGAATTCTAGCAGAGAATAAAGAACACAGTCAATCACAATTCATCACAAGGTTTCTGTTTCTATTGTAAAGTAGCAAGTACAACGTGTAGTACAGTAATACTGTAAAACCTCAATAAGGAGCTTATGAAATAAATGCTAATTGATCATGAAACATTCTGGGGAGGGGCTACTGTGGTAGCTAAATGGTCATGCAGTCAAGTCATGAAAAGGTTGATATTTTAATCATATTGTATTAATATGATAGTAAGTGGTATTCAATTACTGATCAGATCAAACCGATCAATTCTATTCTGCTTTTGTTGAAAGTGCTGATTTGTATGTTCATTGTTATGGTAAGGTTGTTCTGTATGTGTGTTAATCTATTGATCAGTCAGCATATTCAGAATGTGCAGAACCTACAACCATATTTGACCAACAGTGTGTGTAAGTTCAACATTTCTTCCTGCTGCTGAAAATCCCCAAAGTGTCCTCTGCATTTATAGTTACGAGAAGGAAAAACAACTGGTCCATGTGTCGTATACAGCAACATGTTTCTGACTAAACACAATTCACCCGTTCTCTCACACAGGGCTCTTCCCTCCTCCTGGTTGTACCTGTGTTCTGCTTCTGCCATGTTGGAAACCCATCTGCTTTGTCCTCTTCTGCTCATCGGTCCTTTGTTTTAATCAATCGATGTGGTATTTCCTTCTGTCCACAAGGGATGTGTGTGTGTGTGTGTGTGTGTGTGTGCGTGTGTGGCAGGGTGTTGGCCTGTGTGTCCGTTCTACTGGAAGGCCAGCAGAAACATTAGCACCACGTTGATGATGATGAGCAGCATCATGATGAGGAAAACCACCACCTTCTGCGTCTCAGGGGGGAGGTTGCAGCGCAGCATCGTGCTGAAGAATCCCAACCTCTGCCGGCTCCACCTTCCTGAGCCGCTGCCACGAGCCATCAGTCCCCTGGCTTCCTCCTCTTCCTCCTCCTCGGCACCGCTGCCCCTCCCCCGCCTTCTCTTCCTCAGCGCCGAGCCTCCGCACCACACCGCGCCACCTTGCCCTCCTCCTCCGTCCTCGGGTGGCGCTCCCCTCCTCCGCTCTGCTCCGGCGGTCGCCTCCTCTGCTTCTCCTGCCACCGTGCCGACGCTCGGCGTCGCCCGGCCTGCCGGTGGAGGCTGGGTGACTGTGTGTTAGCCTACGTGAGAGCGCCCCCCCCTCGTCCCCCTTTAAGGAAAGGCACCTCCCCGGGCTTTCTACCTTCTAGCAGTCTTGTCTCTGGCTCGGTTCCTGGTCTCTCGCTCGGTCGGCTGTCAGGGTGAAAGACGGAGAACGGGATGCTGCATCTCTCTGGTTGGTGCTCATGCCTCCGCGTCGTTTCTCTCCTCTCCCTTTCATCCGCCTCTGCCTCGGGTTTTACCTCAGTCTCTATTCAACATTTACTCGGATGTGTCTACCTCTCCATCCAACTGTGTGTTCTTCCTCTGCTTTCTTCTGTCCTCTTCCTCAGTCGGTGACGGCCGCGCTGTGTCTCCGTTCCTGCTAGCGTGGAGCTCGGTGCTGTGCACGAAGCTGTGCGGCCTCAGACATCCATCTAAAGACCAGGATCACCCTCTTTTCTTTTCCCCCTCCCTTCCTCTTCCATGTGACCACCCTTGCATAGCTGGTAGCCAATCAGGACGCAGAGTGTGTCAACGTATCCTGGATACCAGAATAGTTGAGGCAGGGCCCCGGCAACCCCGGTGTGGGAGGGGGTGCGGTGTTGGGATGCCAGGGACAGATGGAGGAGAAGAGCGGAGGCCACGCAGAATAATGGATGGATCTCAAGGGAAATAGTTTCTGTATGTGTGTTTGTATGCAAACAGGGATGTTTTCTGCATCCACATATACTATAACTTCTAACTGGTTTCAGATCTAATAGTAGACACCAAAGACCAATGAATAACAGCTATAGATAAGAGAAAAACCAGTTTACTGCACCAAAGTGCGTACAAACAATGGGCCTCATTCACCAAATGTTCTTAAGAACAAATTTGTGCTTGACCCCCACTTACATTTGTTGGTGAGAACAGAATGAACACACACCCAAGAGCATTCGACACACATATGAGAGCTGACATGTTTGCCCAAAACCGTTTTCGTCCATTCTAATTTAAAATGGAATTTTTCTCTCCTTTATAATTTTGCAACTAATTACTTTTATTATTTTACGCCAGCGTTTTGCACTTACTTCTTGCAGCAATATCTCCACTTCAGAATTACTGAAGTTTGGGACGGTTCTCTGAGTGTCCCCGGTCCTACCTTCTCATGCCCTCTTATGGGAATTAAAGCGCGTTGACCTTTGCTGAATAGGAGCAACAAGGCACGAGCTTTCAATTCACCACATGTTGGGATTCATCATTCTAAGACGCACCTGCAAACAATTCCTCTGTTTAGGAACACGTCACGAATCACACGGGGAACAAATGTAAGAAATAACTTCGATAGACGATACTGGTGAATGAGGCCCAATGTGCTGCAGCTTAGTTCCCGCCCTCACACGTTTGTGGTCCGGGCTCAGGAGGGGCAGCTACAAGCTGTATCGGGGTCTGGGGAGTGGAGAGAGGTCCCGATGGATTCGGTGGAGGAATTGGAGAAACTATTGTGACTTCCCGATGAGAGGGTGCAGTCATGTGACCAGACATCAGCGATGTGAACACCAATAAACGCTGTGAGACGAGGGAGTAAACTCGTCTTGTCATTGACCTTGAGAGACAGACTGTGGTCTTGACAGGGAGCTAGCCGCTCCAGCTCGCCTGTGTCTCATGGGGTCCACATATGATGTGAATAATATGATGACTGCAGTCATTGGGCAGAGGGGTCAAAGGGAATGTCAGGTGGGGTTTCGTTCATGGCTTTGATTCTATACACGCATCAATGTGAGAGAAACTACTCTGAAATATTATATACTAATATTTGTCCCGACGGATCACTTCAGCAAAGTTGAACCGTATGAAAAAGCTTTGGTCTAACAAGTAAAACAGTGGCCACACCACTGGCCGTGTTTTCCTGAAGGGCAACCGAAGGGTGGGCATAGGTTTGCACATGGTTCTGCCTACCAATATTGTAGGACAGACTTGTCCTTACTAATATTTGAACAAACCTGTGCATCATTGTGACCAAACGCACACTCACACGTAGTGAGAGAGGAGCTGTTAAACTTTTATCTGAATCAACTTCTGGGCTTGTCACCCTGGTCAAATGAGACCACCTCTGGATTGTGCCTACCTCATTGATCGCCAGCTGCTCTCCTCCACCTCCTCCTGGGTGACCAAAACGATGGCCGCAACTACGGAAGTCTTCATACAGCAGATCATCTTCGCTGCCGAGCTCCTCCCCAAGTCCTGCCTTGTCTGAAGCCCCGTCAGGTACGACCGATGCTGAGACAGGGAGGGACGGGGAGGACAGAACACCAAGACAGCGTGGTTAGCTGTTCATCATAAGCAGGTAGGGTCAATGCTGTAGACACGCATACAATACATCAGTATTTATTTATATTTACATTCAAATGAGTCAATACTAACTGTATGGTGGAAAACAAAAATGGCGTCACTTTGAACTCTTTAGAATTTTAATGCTTAAAAAAAGAAACAATCATTAATACAAAATGTGACAAACACCAGTATTCAAATGGCTGATATTTGTATCTGAGGCCCAGCAGCCGATTAAGCTGCCAGCGGCAGCTGACACCTCGATTTGAATGTATTTGGCCATTTGTGAAACAGTATGTGACCAATGGTTATAATGTAAACCCCAACCTTCTTTTCCTCACGGACCACTTTCATGTTAGACAACATTTCCTGGACCGACTGACTGAGTAAGGTTGGCTGGTGCCATGAAGGACAACAGATAACAAAGGCCCTTTCCTAATGCTTAAGAGGGCGAGAATGGACTCGCCTTCTCAGGGGAATGGACTCGGAGTCAGGATTCTCAGGTAGGGAGCGATATATATTATGGAGCACCAGAGTAAACTCTTATACGTCAGACATAAAATGAGTAGCCAAATGTCTCAATGGATCAGATCAGAGTTGTTGAACATCTTCCTCATGATGAAGAGGAGCAGCTGCAGTTTGTGGTGCTGCTGAACGTTACTGGATCACACTGACAGGTGTAGATCTAATATATTATTGGATGGAAGAAACCCATCAAAACGTTACTGAGGTAAACATTTAATTGAGGGATGATGTATCACATCACACTGCATCAGCTTTATAAATGTTTCATAAAGTACAGAGAAGGTTGGATAGAAGAACAACAATGAATCAGTTCATATTTGAATGGACGGCTGATAATCAGTGTGGTGTCCTCGTCCAGTTAAATGATCTCTCAGGGATCATGGCGGCTGAGACGAGTCTGACGGTCCTGTTAACTACACTTTACATCTCCCACAACCTGGAGTTGGATGTTAAGGACGCTCAATGTTGATGAAGTGACTCCAGAGATGTTGCTTGAACAAATAACTTCCTAAAAAGTCCTAAAGTTACATTCTGTGACTTAAATATAACGTTAGTAGTATTTATAAACACAATTGTGTTGATTTTCTTCTGCCATTGTTGCTTATTGCTTTGGTGCAATGCATTCTGGGATATTTGGCTCTCATAAGAACAAGTCTCCTTCAACAAGTCTCGGAAGCAAATTTGTAGTTTGTGATCTTTGGTCACAAATTTTAACTGAATTGAAAAAAGTGAATACCTGACAACCGGTCTGAGGGTGTTTTTCCTTTTCAAATGATTAGAAACCACAGTTACAACGTCGTAGCTCTGAGTAACATTATCCTGAAGAAATGATTCCATACTGTGAGGTTTAAACAAAGGAGGCTGTGTGTTTCCTTCCGTCACAGAAACATCCTCTCAGGTGTTTGTGGCTGATGAGCTAAAAATACATCACAAGCGTCGCCTTCAGCTGACAACGAGATGAACGGAGAAAACCTAGAGCTTGGACACAGTAGGATGTTGTTGAGCAGCAGAAGTATTGATGCCGTACAGCGGTTTCTTACACGCCATACTGTTACATCATCATAATTGACCTCATCAGGGCCGTGGAGGTATCGGGTTGTGCCCTCATGGGGGCAGTGTAGGACCCCCTGACCCGTTGTGTGTGATGCTGTAGAGGTATTGACATGCCTTTGTTCATGTGCACAACGTTTGTATTATTCTGTCTCATTCCTAATGCCGTGATGGCATAACGTTTTCCACTGGTGAAACCGATACAACCATGAACATGCAAAAATGCTGTACAGGACGAACCAGTTTAACAATGTGTCATCATACTTTTGGCTCCTATTGACCACAGTATGTTGTGTGCTGACAACATTCTGCATCTGTGATCATCGTTAATATACTATATACACTACTATTATTTGTAGTCATGTACACCATCATTTTGCTACTCTTATTATTTGAATAATCACATGCATTGAACATATTGTACATCTTTTATGTTGTTCATTCTGTCCATTCCGGGTATACAAAATGAATTGAATTAACGCCTCCTAGTAGAGTGCACACAGTGGACATACATGGCAGCTTTGTCCAAAGCCCAGAGACCAACCAGTACTCAGTATGCAGGAATTACTAATGTCATTACAGGTCATTTAGCTGATGCTTTTATCCAGAAAAAATGGCTTATTACATTATATTATTCCGGGGAGCAATTAGGGGTTAGGTGTCTTGCACAGGGACACTTCATGGGACATGGGACAGCTGGGACTGGAACCTGCAACCTTGTGGTTCCCAGCACACCCTCTCTACCCCTGCACCACGACGACGATCCGATTGTAGCAGTACATGTGAGAGAGAGAGGACAGGGACCGAGTCGCTTAATTGGTTGTCAAGTCTGTCAATTTGTTATTTTCTTTAGTGATTTGGTTGAGCAGTTTCTTCCCCCCTTCAGGTGCTGAGTCTGCGGTGGTGGTCACCACCTTGGTGTCCCAGGTGGTGGTGTCCCTCTTATGTTATGTTTTGCATGTTTGAGTTGCTTCATTTTTAGTTTCACGCATGGTGCTCCTTGGGTCCCCTTTTCTTTTGACTGTCCATCATCATAAGTCTCAGCCCTGATTGGTTCCCCCGTTGCTTGTCCAAGAGTGCAGAGGGTTTTTTTACCGTTGTTTTAAACCGTGAATTTAATAAAATTACATTGTTTCAAATTACGTCTCTGCCTCATTTGCGACGAACCTGAGTGCCTCCCCTTAGTTTTATTTGGAAGATTTAAAACAATTCCCTGGGTGGCGTTGTCTGGCGACTTTATAATATTTGAATTGCCCTCATCTTTACGTCACGCCTCGTGTCGCTACATGTAGTAGAATTCATACTTGCTGATTACCAAACCTGCTCGTTCCACGTACTCGGGGAACATTAACTTGAGGAGAAGATATCAATATTATGTTTCTGTTTTAGACAGTTGGTTTCAGGAATTGGTTAGCCTAGCTTAGCATAAATACTTGGTAGCCTCGCACTATTCATGAATACACCTAACAAATGAATGTCTATTCTCTTATTACTTACAATTTTACACTCCTCATAACAAATGGTTTCCTTTCCGTAAAATGCACTTTATTTCCCTGTCCTTTGCGTTTCATTTGAAACAGACAAACGGGGTTATAAACTGAGGGATTGTTAAAACACTGCTACCTATCAGTGTTGTCAGGCCCAACAATCAGAAGTGGGTGGATGTTTTTTCTTGGCGGCTTCTTATCATATGTAACCGTATTGTCTTTGTCATTATAGCTGAGGGAAATAATAGGGAAAATAGTTTGTTTGTACTGTTGTTAGCATTGTTAGCTGCACACCCCTTGATCAGCTGTCCACATGTCTACGTTCAGCGCGGGTTAACAGTAGCTCGATCCAAAGATGTTGGTTGGAATCGTCAGAGACATGTTGGCGATGAGTCTGTGCAATCGGCCATTTGCTGCTAAAGAAAAAGGCTCAGGATTATAAGGCAGAGAGGCCCAATGTCTGCAAACATGAAAGTCTCTACAGAAATTCCTGGGAATGCCGTCAGTTTTTGTTGACATAGTATATTTAGTTCTGGACTATTTAATGTATAAATGTCCTCCGCAGATGAGAAAAGTTATAGGCTTTTTCTTTTCACTGGTCAACAGTGCAGAGTTTGAGCCTGTTTGGCAAGTGGAAAAAAACTGAATTCAATATTGTCCCAACAGTGGTTCCATTCACTGAGCCACATCGTGTTATGTCTATTGATTCTGGCAGGGGAGGAAGTAACAAACTATAAATACTCTTCTCTTATAAAGTTGTATGATTATGTACGATTAATTAAACAGTACAAAAGTATCACACCGCCTTCGTTCCAAGTCAAATGTATTCATGGGTACAACAACATTCAGTCCTGATAAACTGTGGACAACGTCCCCCCTGGACCAGGCCTAGGATTTGGTGAACCATGATGATGCAACGCTGACTGCGGCAGGAAAGGCTTTTCTTTTGATTGGTTTGGGAAGGTGGTCCTCGGATCTACTTTAACAACTGTTGCTTTGGGACATTTGTGGTCATAATGATGATTTCAGAGAAACAGAATGACTCAGGTCTGGTGTCTCAACAGAACTAGCTAATTCAATGCGTGACAGTAAATATGTTGAATGTCGTGACTTGTCACATTACACACTCTGAGAGGAGGATCGATGTGGATGACCAGGACAGGCGGCAGTTTCTCATTTTGCATTGATCTGCAACATAATTCATTTTGGTAATGGAGTCACGTCCACACAGCACTGACTGTCTGCAGATAATACAGAACAAACACTGGGACACACACACACATTCCCGCACATACACACGCGTGTAATGTTTGCCAGCTTGTGAGAGGCAGACGCTTTCCAGCACAAGCGTTTAACCCTTCGTACCACAAACAGTAAAAGCTGACCTGCGTGCCGGAGCTTGGAGGACTTATTCCAATTAATGTAGCAAAATGCAGCGTAGATCCCAGATTACTGAAAATTGAGTTATGAATTTCAAACGCGTGAAGTTAAATGTTGATTACTGGCCCCAAAATACTTGACTAAAAAGTACAGTTCGAAAAATGAACGTAAAGTTATTTCTCCTTAAAAAAACGTATTACTCAAATCTTGATTTCTTCCTGTTTGACATTTTATATTCAGCTCCTGAATCTGACACTTGGGGCAATAGAAATCTCATGTTTCCCTATATAGGATTCACATGAAATATGATGAAGATAATGTCAAAGGTAGTGTGAAGATCTCTACCAATAAACAGAATGGCAGATTCAAGCGGTGGAGAAGTGAGTGTTTTAGTATTTTCTGGGGTCTTTCTGATTAAAAACAAACCTCAAGCAGAGGAGAGAAATGATAGCAAACAATAAAAATCCATTGTTTCTGTTTATTGGTCTAATCATAAATCAATAATACTAATGTTTATTATGACATTGTTTATTATAAGCCGTAATAACTTAACGTAATAACACAAATGTGAGACAGTGGTTCCCAAACCTTCCTGTCGAGCCCCCCAATGACGTCGAAACGAGGAGGAATATTACTTCCCCTTCACTGCTAAAGTATTGAACACTGCTGAGTCCTGTCCAATAACTACAATATCCCATATTTCTAATTCACTTCAACGACCTCTCAGTTATTGACAATCAACAAAGGACGCTCCAACACGCGTCTAAACTGGCATTTTTTCACACACAATTACCTTCTTCATGCCGCTCATATGTCCGGGCATTCCAACGCTCCAACGCTGTCGCTGACTTTCTCGCTATGCGTTTCAGACCTTCAGAACCACGCGCAGACACCGCTCCTCCATATTCGGCACTGACGTTCCTTTGTTTGGTGAGTGCAGGTAAGCTCCTTTTCTTTACTTAAATAGGTTTAAAAGCAAGATTTTAAGTGGAATTTTCAAAACATGCTCTATTCCTTTTAGGTCAGAGCAAAACATCGAGGCTTTAGAGGGCGGTGGCCTACAGATAAATAATGACTTTCACATTGTGTTTGTCTGTGTGTCCCCATGCTTATCAGTATTTAGCAGCACGTGTTCTTTCTTGGGCCTTGCTGTGCTGAACGGGGTCCCATGCAGACCTTGTGTGAGTGACCTGAGCTACACCTTAGCTAAGTGTAGCAGGATGACGGCTTTCTGCCCATTCGCAGTATTGCCCCCTTTATTTGCCACCACATAAGGAGGGATCGGTGGATCTGCCCTCTCTCTCTCTCTCCCGGGTCACCTGGCTGCAGGTTCTGCAGACCCTCGGCCCTCTGGTGTTCACCGCGCAGGTATGTGGTACTTTATTGCGCGTTTCCATTCGTGCACCGTAATAACGTGTGTTCATGTGCTGCTTAGTTCTCATTCTCCTGCCTGTAGAGCATTGATGAGCATTGAGTTAATAGAACGTTGTGTTTCTGGGACTGACACTGGTCGTTTCCACGTTATTGAGTTAATCACATCAGTGTGTGTGTGTGTGTGTGTGTGTGTGTGTGTGTGTGTGTGTGTGTTATGGTCTTCATATTTGAAATCTGTTTAATAAATATTTTGACATTTATGGTTGAATTTCTTTTTTCTATTGATGCATATTCATTGATCTGAGATATTTAATGGATCCGCTTTGGATTCGGGCCGAATGAGCCGCTTTATCAACAGGTAAAAATAAAAAACTGGTTTGGATCCGATCGGAGTGTAAGTGTAATTATGAGAGTAGCATGTAGAAGGTTATGACATTTCAGTTGTAAACCAATAGTCCAAGTCTACAAAATATGTTTCCTCTTCATAGGAAAAGCCTGCTGGTTTGCACATGTGACTGAAAATGACCTTCTGAAAGTAAGCAAAGAAAGTGATAACAACGCTTACAGCCCCTCATCCCTGTGCTGCACACAGAGGACTCACCACTGATCTTCTCTGATGAGGACAAGTGCAGCGGGGGGGGGGTATGAAGTGTTATGCAAGGAAGCATCCAGCTGAGCCCTGAGCCTTACTCCTCTGAGTCTATGGAAGCCAGACTGCACATCGTACGCACACGCAGGTTTGCAAAGCCCTTGACATCCACACTTTTGACTATATTATTATTAGTGAGATGGTCAGGATGGAGAGCGGACTGAAAGGGGGAAGGAACCTTGCTTTGGTGGCTAACACGTAGCTCTGTTGTTTTCACAGAACACAACAAATATGGAACTAAAGCATATTAAACATCTTCATGAATCATGAACAGGCTGCACCAATGATGGATTAAGGACTGACATTTAGAAGTCTGCCGTCCTTCTACTTTCTGAAACATTCCGGAGACGCGCAGCATCAGAAAGACAGCAAAAACTACAGGGTACACTACAAAAACTTCCTGTTAAATGTGCAAATATAACTTTTTACACTGTTCCTAGCTTCAATTTTAATATTTGAAGTAAATGTATTTACTTCAAATTTAAATCTAATATGTTTAAAAGATGTATTCAAAAGTAAAGTGATAGGTATTCTTTTTGTATATGCAATAAAGTTTCCATATTTTAATGCAATTATTTCAAAAGGATTGAACCTATTGAACCTACAAAGTTTGAGAACCACTGTTCTCGATGACAAGTAGTTCACAATGAAAGAGCACTCAGGGAGTACTGTTCTGGTGTCACCCTGCCCCCCCCCCCACTGACTAAGCAGAGGTAGAACACAGGCAGGCCTCGGGCTGAATGGCTGTTACACAGCGACCTATTTCCCGGAGAGCCCTGTGCCTCCTATTTTTGTGATGGATGCTTTCAGACATCCACCCTCCTCCCCCACGCTTTCTTGCTTCAGAGAAGAGGATATTTGGCTGTGTGTGTGTGTGTGTGTGTGTGTGTGAGGCAAAGTGGCCAGTTGGCCATCGCAGAGGAAAGATTTAACACAACCATCGGCAAGTCGCAGTCATATTCACGCACTTGACCACACGCATGAAATATCATGCGTGTGGTCACATGTACAGCACTGAGTGCAAGGAAGGGACATAGGTAATGGTGGCCGGGGGTCAAGCTTGACAAAGACCAGTAGGAAATGGGAGGCAGCGTTGCTGGGAGAGAGCAGCACAGTGGTGTATCATGGTAAATGGAGGAGAATTCCTCCTAAAAGGGGTTTAGGGAATTCTCTGCATTGGCTCTTTGTTAAATTAAGAATAGAATTTATGGTACTTTTCCTTACCTATAAAGCACCACCTTGTCGGGCACCATCTTATCCTAAGCAGCTTATAATACCACATTGTGCTACTAGAGAGCAGTACTTCGTAGTGGGTTATTTGTTGTCCTTGAGTCTTGAAAGCATGGGGGCCACAGCCTTCAGTTACCAAGCTCCTCTTTTGTGAAACCAGCTTCCACTTTCAGTCCGGGGGGCAGACTCGGTCAGCTCTTTCTAGATAAAGCTTAAGACTTTACTCTGATATCGCTTCTGGTTAGGCCTGGCTCAGGTTAGTCTGGACCAGCCTTAAGCTGCTCTCTCTACTTCAATAAGAAATAACATGCACACCACTATTTCAGCTTAACAAGGGTATGACGACAACAAAAACCGCAGACGGATCGACAAGGAGACAAAGGACAGAAATTGTTTAAATACAGTGGGAAGTTGCAGGTGACTGTACACAGAATGAAACAATCAGGTACATGGCAGACAATCACAGGGGAAAACACACCAGGGCAGGAAGTGAAACTAACCCAAAGATACACGAGGCAAGAAAATAAATCCAAAGTGTGACAGTTATATCTGATGGTGGTTACATCCTATGGTGTTAACATCTGATATTCTGGTCAAATAAAGTAACCAATATGAGATGTCATCCATGGGCTCTGGGAACCGTTGTAAATGTCATTGTTTCAGAATATATTATCCTGAAGTTTACATTACAGATCGTTGGTGTCTGCCAAAGACCTTTCCTCTATCATTTATCCCACCCATTCCATACACACATACACACCTTGTCTCAGGGAGCCTATGGAACTGTTGGTCGGCTCTTATTTTCTTCTTTCGCTCTCTGACTCAGTCCATCCCCTCTTAACTCAAAACGCCATCAACCCCTCGCCTCTATCTTTGCCCAGAAACTGCTCTACACCTACTGTAACCTCACAGTGTCTATTACCACTTCTTTATCTTACTCTCTCCCTCTCTCAAACTAAAATCCTTACCACATCACCTGACCCCTCTCTCCCTTCTCTCTGGCCTCCTCTGTCTTATCAGTCCTCCCTCCATCACAACAGGTCCACAAGTCCTCTCCGGCTCTGTGGTTGTCAGTGAGTGCAGAGAGAGCCACTAAGTGGCTCATCCATACATTGGTACTTGCGTACCGTGCGGCAAAAAGATCAGATCTAGTCAGCATGCAGGTCATGGTCGAACCGTTCATCCCTGCACGCTTACTCCGCCCTGCATCCTCCAATCTACTTGTTGCTCCATCACAGAGACTAAAGACTCAACAAAAACCCAGGCTGTTTGCTGTCCCGGCTCTCGAATGATAGAATGAGCTCCCCAATGACATCAGGACTGCAGCCTAAACAAGTAAAAACACACCTACCGACTATCTGTGGACTGGGTAGCACTTTATTACCACTCACGGTTTCACTTACTTCAAGCACTTTGTGGTTTGGTATAGTTGAAGAAATAGTACTTTCTTCATTAAGTTAATATGGGTTTGTACCGTCTTGGTCAAAGAGAAGTCATCCGACATTTTACTCTGTAGAGGCAGAGAGCCTTCAGCCGCAAACTAAAGAACCACCTCTTTAGACTCTACCTTGACATAAAAACACTAACAAATGATAGCACTTTATTTGTACTTATAATGGGTCTCATCTGTAGCAGGTTGTAAATGGGCTTATTTGATGAAATTGCACTTTGTTTCATGTTCTTCTGGGTTTGTTTCCTTATGGTTGAAATGCACTTATTGTAAGTCGCTTTGGATAAAAGCTTCAGCTAAATGACATGTGATGTAATGATAAATGTGTCTGCTAAATGAAATGTTATGTAGTGATGTAATAATTTGTTCAAACAACCTTTTTGTTGAATGTTTCTTTTTATTATAATTCAATAATGAGCAAAGTAGCCTTTGACATTGTCCTGGTGGCCACATTTTGATGTTCCTGGTTTGACTATGCTTGAGAAACCTTCCTCCTATTTCTACTTTCTCTCTGCTTCATCTGCATGCTGTCATTTCCTATGACCTGACTAAAGCTAAGATGTGCATTTTATGTTAGGAATGACTTTGAAAAACTTCAAAGTCCTGACTTCTGATTCGTCATGCTACCTGAGAGCCTTGAGTGCAACAAACACAGCGAGCACATATGTGAGCATGTATGTAGCAGATATACTGTGTTTCTGCACGATCAGAAAGCAAGGCAGCCAGCCCACCCAAATATCCACATAGTACAGACCCTGTCAGTCAGTGTCAGGCCATTGACACACACACACACACACACACACATTGTACATGCAATCCCATTCTGTGTAACACACAAACGTTACTCTGATGTGCCGGCCATTGGGTGTGCACATGTGGTACCGTATATTACAGAGAGCTGTGTGTATGAAAAGGAGACTTTGAAATAACGTAGGCCTCAGCAATCGGGTGATCTGGAAGGAGATCGGCACAGAAGTGCATTGTGTGTGGAAGGAACTTACCTGTGGTTGAATGCAGACTCTCTAAGCTCCAATAGCGAGAAAGGACCCCCCTCAGCGTTCCGCCCAAGCTACCTCCGCCTCCTCCACCCATCCCAAGACATCTGTCCACCATGCTGTCCACCTTGACGCCTGTTGGGCTCCCTCTGTCCGAGTCGGAGCCAGGCGACAGCCCCGAGCTGCCGCTGCTACCACAGCTTCCCCCAGGCAGGGGCACACCCCCCTCCGAGCCCTGCTGGGTCCGCATCCCAATTCGGATGCACCACAACAAGGGGGGTGAAGGATGCAGGGAGCAAGGAGGTAAAAGCAAATGAAAAGGCGAGGCAGGCGAGCAGGTGGCCACAGCGCAGAGGAGGCTCCTATCTGCAGAGGTTGGTTCCAGCTGTCAAATTCTTACATTAACAGTAGAGCAGAAGCAGCGCTCCTCTCCACCTCGCTCAGCCTCTCCCTCTCTGGATCTCTCTCTTCGCTGACATCAGTGGGGGTCCTGCAGGGGGGTTCTGCAGCATGGACAGCTCACTAATGGTGCAGTAGCTTATCTATCCAGAGGAGATGAAAAATGCCTCTCCCAAACACACACACACACACACACACACACACACCGTTGGTTGTCAAATTCACAGCATGTTACAGAGCAAATGTATAGATTGGGCTTCCGAATTCTCTTGTTAAGTTGATAATGTACTCCATCATTGGCTGACCGATTCAATTCAATTCATTTTATTTTGTAGAGCCCAAGATCGCAAATGACAAATTAGCCTCAGGGCTTTACAGTGTGTACACATGCGACATCCTCTGTCCCGAAACCCTCCATCGGCACAGGAAAACATCCATTTGGTTAAAAAGATTCCTGACAATAACCAATCAGAGATTTTTATCTAACTAGCTCACTACAATTCAAATTGCATTAGTACCAGACCGAACAAACCAAACCATACAAACCCTTTATTAACACAGTGATGGAGGACGATACTAGTGGGACTGGCTCAGATGCTCTTTACTGCCCTCTATGGGGGAGTGACTGTTGCACTGCGATTTCACCATGTACTGAGAGACAGGACGCGTACTGTCTACTGAGAGACAGGACATGTCCTCTCTACTGAGAGACAGGACGCGCCCTCTCTACTGAGAGACAGGACGTGTACTGTGTCTACTGAGAGACAGGACATGTCCTCTCTACTGAGAGACAGGACGTGTACTGTGTCTACTGAGAGACAGGACATGTCCTCTCTACTGAGAGACAGGACGTGTTACAACTACAACTCATGAGTATTGAAGAGTGTGATAATAGTTTTTCTTTGTTCACTTCACTAAAAGGTGTAAAACTCAATGCTCAGAAACAACACAGACTGTCGGCTTCATGAGATTATTTTCTATTAAAGTAGAAAAGCCGTATTTAGCCTGATGATTAGAAGAGATTTATGTCTGCACAAAATGAAATTAGATAAAGAACCCACACAAAATAGATGACACGAGTAAAGCTGTGGCAGATGTGTATGTGTGTGTTTTACTTGAAGATGTCATTAACAACCAGTAGCCAGAGCCAGCCAAAGACCTGTGTTCCGGCCTGAAGGTGTTTGACCATAATTGTCGAGCTGCTCTTGGACACGTTGGCTGTGAGGCACTTGAAGGACCTGGTGAGCTGGTCATTGAAATAATCTAGGCCCCATGACTGGTAATACAAATATATCTGACTGCAAACCCAGGACCAATTTCTGCTTCTTCGATAGTGGACGCCGTCATTTGTCACAGGAAATGAAGCTGTACAATCGTTATATGCGTTGGCTGAGGAGAGGACTTGTGGAGGGGAAGTCTCGGCCGAATGGCTGGCTCTCTGTGTGGAATAGCTGTAAAATGGAGGAAAAGAGATTCAGACGATGATGTGTACTTTATTCCACTTTATTTTATTACTTGTGCACTGTTGTCTTGTCTGTCTACTGTCGCGCACAAACCGCCAAGACAAATTCCTTGTATGTTTGACATATTTTGGCTAATAAATGTTTCCTGATTCCTGATTCCTCAGACAGCCTGGTACCAACGCTCTGGTGTTATTTTGATGTGTTATGTCCATCTAAGATAAAGAAAGCTACTCGGGCAGCAGTTGTGTGAGCCACTCCTGGTATTCTAAGGCTGCGTGTGCCCACCACAAACCGTGTGTATCTGCATAACAAAAAAAAGTCCTATTTTTAATGCAATAATGCAACACACTCAAGATCAGTGATAGGAGTACTCGGGGACATGATATGAACCCCACCTGAGGAAACAAATGAGCAGGTGACTGAGGCCCCTTACAATTACAATGGAAGTAGCACCGCTTGTAAATGTGGCAACGAGGGTGGTCTGATTCCATGTCCTCGTCCCCCTTTGGGACGAGTGGGGCCGTGGTGGGATTGCATATCCCTTGTGGAAACAGCGGAGGATAAATGATCAGAACCCTCAGTCGCCCAGTACGACCCCTGTAGAGGAGCGACAGCACCGAGGTCGACTTGAAGACGAAGACGACTTGCTGAAGTTCAAACCGAGCATCAAAATGGGGAAGAAGGAGTTTAAGTGACTTTGAACGTGGGATGCTTGGTGGTGCCAGACGCGCTGGTCTGACACCACCAACAAAAATATGCACTTAGACAAATGATGCCCAAAGCTCGCGCGTGGAAGAAGGATCTTCAAGGAGGAATTCAGCTGCAACCAACAGCGGCGTGTTCTTTTGTGGTCAACACAATGAACCAAGGCCGCCCGTCCACTAGGCGGCAGCATTTACTCATCAGTAACTACTAAAGTTGCTACATTTATGGCGGGCATTTCTTACAGGCAGAACACTGACTGTCACAAACGGCTGCAGAGATTTTCACGCACAACCATCTGTAGGGTTTAGAGAAAGAAAAGTTGTGTGGATGAAAATGCCTCATTGATGTGAGTGGTCAGAGGAGATTTGGCAGACTGGTTTTAGATTCGATTCGATTCAACGTTATTGTCATTGCACAGGGTACAAGTACTGAGGCAACGAAATGCAGATGAAAACCTAAAATAATGCTTAAGGACACAAGGCAACACAACATACACAACAATTCAGTAACTTCAGCCTTTAGACTGAACAGTGCTTTAGTACACGGCTATGAAATCAAAGTGGTTTGTAAAAAACTAACAAGAATCAATTGTGGGGAAGCTGGGGAAGCTTTTTGAAGGGTTAGGAGGCTTTTCACAGCCCGTGTTCATCACAACTGGGAGGGGCTTACCTCTGTCAATACAGCTATTTTAACATTAGCATTCCTTCCAAAATAGTTACTTAATAAAACAATAATACAATATAAGTGTAGGTTCATAAACATAGATGATATATTCAGAAGGATATTCAATTTAATCATCCTAAAACCCCAAAGCCCCCCTCCAGACTGGAAATGAATCACGCACCAGCAGACCCAGACCCAGAGAACCACTGTCATGAAGTATTGTGTATGTCCTGCTAGCACAGTTAAATAAACCATGAAACTTTAAAATGCAATTCCTCCTTTAGCAGAGTTATTTATTCAATCCTGTTTAAAAGGATCACAATGTAAAAAGGTATTTATCAACTTCATGGAGTTCGTTCAATGATGAATAAAAGACAAACCAGTGCTTTTAGAGTTGTCGATGCCTGCCTGAGTGGAATATCGTTGGCTACATTGCCATTGGAAAAAAACTAGATAATGGTGACAATGAACGTGTATCTCATGTAACTTTTATGGTTAAAAATGTCAGAAGGTACTATTGGCCCCCAGGCATCTTTACATCATCAAATCTGGACACCGCTGCCTCAAGGTTTCAAGGTTGTTTTCTTCTCGACATCTAGATGTTTTCGGATTAAATACAACCCTATTGGTAGTGGAACACTTTTTATTCTTTTATTGGAAAAAATAACAGAAAACACTGTTTTATTACTGTTTGTATTACAGAGTAAAATTGTCCCTCCATATTAATTACAATTAAATACAATGAATGTATTGTGAATTCTACTTGGCATTGTAACTACACAAACGGTCAGATGCTGTAGTCGGTTCTTATAGTGGATCAGCATTTGAGCTTGACAGCTGTAATTTGTCAAGAGTGGAGATCCAATATAAATATACAATATTTGTAAACCCTAATATTCATGTTGAGGGACACTGAAACCACTCAGTAAAACATCTTGAAATAAGCTTTCAATCAACACCCTCGAGAATCAACTTCCCACATTGCAAAACTGTTGCTGATCCATGACTGGAAGTTGTTCATCAGCATAGAAGAAGAGACACACACTTCAGTTGATGTCAACTTTGTGCAAATCCTCCAGAGTGACGTACACCACCTGAAACATCCAAAGCACGACAAAGCATGGCATGATAAGCACTTGGTTCCCAGGCTGAAAGTCATCGTTTATCGCAGAGCTCATTTTCTAGAGACTAGAGGTGCTCATGCTTGCCTGGTCGTGGCAGGGGTCGGGGTAGTCACAGATGTCCTGTGAGAACACACAACGAATCAACTGTTTCACCTCCTCAGGGTAGACGTATGTGGGGTGGCACCGATCCCCCCCCTTCACACCGACCCCGTGTACATCTGGGAATCAAAGAAAAGAAATAGGAACACCTGGGAATACTATTTCATAACTAATAGTCAATGCTAAAAAAATAGTTTTTTCGTCCATTTTCTCTTATCCAGGTCAATGTAAAGCAAGGTAGTCCCGACTTTCCCAGACCTGTCCAGGTGGGATATATAATCCGTTTAAGGGGTTTTACAAGAATACTGTAGGTCTAAATAGTTAAATAGTGGTTAGTGAGGACCAACTATCAATGTTGTGTCTCACTCTCTTCAAATGGTAGACGGTTATTCTCAGACTTTTATTTCAGGTTTCTACTTTCCTGTTGTGTCCATGCTGCGGCTCCTGTATTCCAGTGGTGATGTAATAGGTTTTTGAGCAGTCAAACGCATCGTGGACCTACTCCTCCACATCGTTAGATGGCGAATGTGTGCCACCGGGGAGCAAACCAAGCGACGTGAGCCAGAATGAAATGACGCTGGCTCGATGAAGACGTACCCACGATGTATGTCTCTTCATTAATCCAGTGTGAATCACATGTTACCGGTCCAGACACCTCTAGGTCTGGACCGGTTACATTGGCTCACATCTTAAAACTAACCCAGGACACATACTGAAAGTATCCTTAAATGCCGGTTTTAAGCCGAAACTTGTTACTTTCCTTTATTCTCACCTTTGACCCCGGCGGATAAAATAAGGGCGTGGTTGATTTCGGTATTTATTCCCGCCATCGCTCATCCCCAGATATAAACATGTCGAAGACACGCTGTAACGTGTGACAGCGGCTTTTAAACTAAAGGCTATTGACGTGGCCATTGAAAGGGGAACCGAGCTGCGGCACTCAAACGGATCAAGGAGTCCATGGTTCCAGATTGGAGGCTGCAGAACTTGCAAGAAGGAGAAGATGCAAGAAGTCTCACAAAGCAGTCAGAGGAAGAAAGTGCCACTGGCCCGAAACAGAGAACGAACTAGAGGACTGGGTGAACACACCGAGAGCAGACAGCCGTGGTGGTTGGACAGTTTGAATCGTCTGAAAGCAAAGGCACATTTCAGGTGATTTCGGAGGCGGACCATCGTGGTGTCTGCAGTTGTTAAAACAAAAAGCCTGAGCATTAGGGCTGTCAAAATCGTTTAAAAAGGACATTCAAATATTCGCTTTAAAAAAAGACATATATTCTAATATTAGGCTGGTCAATAACAGGACAAATTTATACCCCTGGTTCTCGAACCTTTGCTGCTGTGTTCTGGTCTTGAGTCCAGCACCACAACCAACATGACATAGTCTAAATGTGTACCATATACTAGGGATTAAGTTATTGACCAAACTTATGCTTACCAGGGTTTCCTGTACCATTATATTAGGGGGCGCCCAGCCCAAACTGCAGACTGAAAATGTGTCAGTGTCCTGTATAATGTCCAAAAATGTCCATTTCATTTTAACAAATTGCCCATTTTCTGCATTTTAAGGCAATATTTGTTTTTTTGGTGATGTACTTTCAAAAAGTTGAAGAAATAGAACAGAAAAAGTACACAATTTTTCATTCAGAACTTTTCCATAACTTTTAACAAAATTTCCATGAGTCTATACATGAAAAGCTGAGAATGGAAGTTAGCTACATTTGCAGCAGGACATGCTACAGATAAAAAATACTAGCAATATTGACAGCTTCAAAGGATGAAGATGGCTCCCAAATGTTTGCCATTAATCAAATGTAAGCATCAGTTTTGAAGTGAATCCTGCTTTTTACTAGTCCTTGTTGAAGTAGTTGCATATATCACAATGGTGGACTGTGAGGGAGAATGTCCATGGGTGGGGACGAACAGATAGCTGGAGGTGGTTCTGGAACCACAAACCTCACAGCAGCAAGTCGGACTCACTCATGTGCAACACACATTTTCAGATGAAGCAGGATTTTCATTTTTCATTTAGAAAGAACAGGGACCACAAACTATCATGGTCTTGAGTACTGCTAAATGAAAAGTAATTTTCAATTCACATTATTGTGTTAATCACTGTGCAAAATTCAAAATATGTGATATAGAAAAGCAATGGCTGGATCACATATTTGCATTTTATCACATGGGCACCGACCAGTTTCCTTTGCAGGAGCCTGTAGACCTTCTTGCGACGGGCGCAGTCACTCTTCAGGCGTTTGGCAGCGTGGAGCAAGGAAGCTATCCACACAGGAAGTCTGAGGGAAGGAGGCAGGATGTAGATGTTACTTTTCTGAGAGGTTTATGGTGCCACAACTGCTCACTTTAAATACTGTAATTTGAATTCCTGCTTCTTAACTGAGGGTTACAACAGCCCCGTTTAAAAGTTTGACTCCATCCATTTCCTGCAATACTCAGAAGTTTCCTTTTTAAGGTTCCAAGCAGCAATGTATCCGCACATAGTGGATCATAGTAACTATTGTTATTTCCTACAAACATCAATCTCAAAATACAAGTATTCATTTCCACTTGTCGACGAAGAAGAGCACTTAGTTATGTTGGTATCTGGTCGGAGCAAGGTACAAGGTAAACAAATGTTACCCTCATGGCACCACCCTGAGATCAGGGACCAATAACCAAATTGTAGATATGGGCGGCAAGGTGAATGATGAGACGATAACAGGGTTCACCTTATGGCCTAGTAGTCGTAGAATTGGTCTCCACTCAATGTACTATTCAGCAGGGTCTGCAACGTAAACGTTCTGAATGTTGCCGCTGCGATGCAGATTTTGTACTAGTCAATGGAAAAAGCTTTGTTCCTCCACTTTTTGAGCAGGTTGTCAGTTGAAACCACAGGTCCATTGGACACTGTCCATCCTGGGCGAGGGATCCTCCTCCGCCATTCTCCCTACGGGTTTTTCCTTTTTTCTCCCCTGTGAAAGCTTTTTCCTCTGGTTTCCTGACAGAGGATGTCGCATGTGTGCAGACTGTAAAGCCCATCCATCTTCAAACCGCTTATCCTCCATACAGGGTTGTGGGGGGTTTGTGCAGTATGGGCTCAAATATTCTGCACGTACCTTTTCAATAAACGATATTCTGTTTTCTATTCTGACCTGTTTCAGGGGTAACAATATATCACATATGGGTGTGGGCTGACGTCCCATTTCTCCCACACCTCTCGTTAGCAGGACGCTTTATAAACATGAAATACGTGAGAGACATGAAACATGAGAGATGCTCAGTTGGATGAAAACATGGCAATGCTCGAACAAACAGTAGTTTGTGACATGTTTTGACAGGATTTCAAAACGGCCAGATTCAGAACGGATTTCAAATTTGCCGAAAGGTTTTCTTGGTTGAAGCTCAGAAGAAGTTACCCAAATGAACGGCAGAGATCAGCATACACATCCATGACCAGTCCTGTGAACCAAAACAAACAGAAACAAAACATGTAAAGTTAATGTGTAAAATCTGCCCACCCACTTATTTTTCAGAAAGATACTGTTTGGCTCCTGTTTTCTGCCTCTCGTGTCCCTGGTTAGCTGTGTCCAATCACCTGCACCGTGCCAGTATATTTAAACCATGTGTGTCTTGTCGGCCCATTGAATGGGTTTTGTGAGTAGTCTGTCCCTGGCACTGATACACCAGGATCCAGATGTGTGGGCACGCTCGACGTGGTGCCGTGTTCGTATGGCTGTCTTTGTAAACAATGCCGACATACCGTAATGGTTTTATCTTAAAGCGAAGCCAAACTGCTCCCAAACTTGGGACTCACGATGCCGTTGGTAAGTTCCTCCCCATGACCTTCATACACGTGACCCGCTTGGTCCAGTGAACACACTACTGCTTTATATCCGTTTACTGACACTTTAAATCAGGGTAGGGTTGTCAGGGTACCAAATGATGACTTCAATACAATACCTTCCATAAATATCATGATACTTCTGACGATACCACAAATATGATATTCAATTGAATTGATTTTTTTTTGTGTGGCCCAAAATTGTAAATTACAAATTTGCCTCAGCGGGCTTTACAGTCTGTACACATGCGACATCTTCTGTCCCAAAACCCTCACATCAGCACAGGAAAAATCTTTAAAAAACATGAAAAGCCCTCCATGGGTAAAAAGGGAAGAAACCTTAGTGAGAACGTCGGAGGAGGATCCCTCTACTGGGATGGACAGACTTCAATGGACGTCATGTGTGCAGAATGTACATTGATGTACAATACATACAATTCTTATGACAGAAATGATTCAAATATTGCAACTAGTAAGCCAGGCGCACGGCAGGACCACTGTATATGATACCATAAATACCATACGATATTGGTATATTTATCTATAATAGTAATAAATAAAACATCTGTAGCCTAATTACCAGCTGGTTCCTGCCCAGCTTTTTGAACACTTAACAAATGGCATTTATATTAGTATTAAAGATATTAGAACTACATGGTGCCATCATAGCATTGATTATACACGGCTATGTAATGTAGCCAGATTACTGAAGTTTTGATACTAAAAATATGTCAAATCAAACCGCTTAACGTTGGGGTACCCCTGTACCTTTTTAGTATAAATACACCGCGGAACATTAATTCAGGGACCTGTTACTTTAAAAGGAACATCAGTAGTGAAACTTACTATAATGATTACACTCTGAGCTGTTAGGAGTGATCCAACTAGTGTATACTGGTCCCTGAGCTACTGTTGCTATGGCCACCCAGCTGTTCACAAACCAACATACGGTCAGAATCTTTATAAATGCTGTAATATGGATTTTGGGCCATCCCGGCCAGGCCTAGCAGCAACCTGAGGAGAAATATGTAGTTAATGGATAATTTGATTTTCTAATGACAGGCATGAAAACGGGTCAAGGGTGAAAAAGGTGAGAAGGAGATTACCCCTCTAGAGGTTTTCAACTGGTTTTGTCCCAGGGGGTACCGACGAGGGGGGGATGGGAATTGACAACAACTAATAGGGAACAATTCATTAAATACTCGTCATGCAATATATTGCATTGCATATAATGTGTGCTGGTCAACTAGTCTAAAATGAATTTTAAACAAATTTTTGCGTAGTTGAGAGTGAAGTCGTACCAGCGTACTTTGAAGTCAAAATGCCAAAATGCTTATCAGGTTGGCAGGTCTGCTTATTGATAGAACGGTGGAGCACTTTACCTTCTGCCTTGTCAAAAACGCTAGCGTTAGCTACCGGAGCTTTAGCTAGCTGGCCAACGTCGCGGTAAATGACTCAATTCATCAAGCTGTAGCTAACATTAGCTAAGTATATGTCAACAAAGCTCCTGGGTAACTTAAGATATACCAGAAAATATTACAATTATTGAAGCCATCACTCACCGTTTTCTAGTGATGTGTCGTTCGTGAACCGTACGACCCGTGAATCCTTACAAGGACTCGAGAGTAACGAGTCCTCTCAAAGAAAAAATGTGTTCATCTTACTGGTATCGGTAATATCTTACCCCCCCCAAATGACTCGAAGAAAGAGTCGTTCGAAACATTTTCATCCCACAAACCTACAAACTGGGCCAGAAGATTGGGTCAAAGATCACGATAACCATTTTTACTCTTAATTAAACACAATTCCAAAACCCAGGACACTACATCAGCACACATCAAAAACTACTGCTCCATCATCTATCTACACACGTGATATATATCATCATTAAAACTCAACAAAAGAACAAACAAGCAGCTGAAGCATGAATCATATCTTACCTTCGCCGTGATCAAAAATGGAGCTAAAGCGGAAGGAATATGTGACCAGCTGAGTGGGGCGTGTCCACATTTAAGCACCAACCAACCAGATGCAGCTCTGTAATCAGACCCTGCAGCCCTCTGTCCAATCAGAGGGTTGTCGGTTCGATCCCAGGCTCTGCTAACCCGCATGTCGTTGTGTCCTTGGGAAAAACACTTAACCCAACATTGCTCCTGTAGCTGCGACTACAGTGTGTGATTGTTGGTTACTGATGGACAGGTGTCACTGTGTCACTGTGTGTGGTTCTCCTGTCATCAGTGTGTGAATGGGTGAATGATGTCATGTAGTGTTAAAGCGCTTTGAGTGGTCAGAAGACTAGAAAAGTGCTATACAAGTACAGTCCATTTACCATTTATACCATTTACCATTTAGAATAACATACCTGCAAACCTCCTGCGTTTGTTTTGCCATTTTGAAATCAAAATATGGCGTCCACGTGAATCTGCCTAATATGTTTGATAAATGATTCTACATTAGCTCCCTTTTTGGAGTAGACTCAACGGGTGGACCACCTTTTTCACCTGTAATGAGTTTGCACGTACGGAAAAATCTCTCAAAGCTCCACCAGCCTGCTGCAGTCCCCCTCCCTCCGTCCCTCCCCCAGCCCATCAGGGCCTCACGCCTCTTCATCTATATCACCTTCCCCTCCCCCACCAGCAACGACCCTCTATTCTGGAGAGAGACGTTAACCGGCTCTTTAGAAGACTAAATCCCCGTAAGGCAGCCGGTCCGGACTCCGTCTCCCCTCACACCCTGAAGCATTGTGCTGACCAGCTGTCTCCGGTGTTCACTGACATCTTCAACACCTCCCTGGAGACATGCCACGTACCAGTGTAATCGGTGTAATGACGTCCCCGAGCAGTGAAAACGCTGAGTTTTTATACACATGTGAAGAACATTCTCCGTGCCAGTTACGAGAAGCTACAAAGCAGGTTGAGATAAGAACCCAGGTGAAGCTGAGGGCAGCACACACACACACACAAGATCCTCCTCAGTGGCCGGTGCAAATCATTATTAATTGGCATAAAGTAAAAACGTGGATCCGGAACGAAAGCTCAGAATAAGATGTGAACTAAGGCCATGAACAGGAGTCCTTTGTTTTGAAGCTCCTGTTTGTGGACTTCAGCTCTGCTTTCAACACCATCATCCCGTCTCTGCTGCAGGACAAACTCTCCCAGCTGCACGTGCCCGACTCCACCTGCAAGTGGATCACAGACTTCCTGTCTGACAGGAAGCAGCACGTGAAGCTGGGGAAACATGTCTCAGCCTCTCGGACCATCAGCACCGGTTCCTCCCAAGGCTGCGTTCTTTCCCCTCTGCTCTTCTCCCTGTACACCAACAGCTGCACCTCCAGCCACCAATCCGTCAAGCTCCTGAAGTTTGCGGATGACACCACCCTCATTGGACTGATCTCTGGTGGGGACGAGTCCGCCTACAGGTGGGAGTCTGACCATCTGGTGTCGTGGTGCAGCCAGAACAACCTGGAGCTCAACGCTCTAAAGACAGTGGAGATGGTTGTGGATTTCCGGAGGAACAGAGCCCCAACCTCCCCCATCACCCTGTGTGACTCCCCCGTCACTATTGTGGATTCCTTCCGTTTCCTGGGCTCCATCTTCACCCAGGACCTCAAGTGGGAGCTGAACATCAGCTCCATCACCAAGAAGGCTCAGCAGAGGTTGTTCTTCCTGAGGCAGCTGAAGAAATTCAACCTGCCAAAGACGATGATGGTCCACTTCTACACGGCCATCATGGAGTCCATCCATCCTGCTCCTCCATCAGCGTCTGGTACGCTGCAGCCACAGCCAAGGACAAGGGCAGGCTGCAGCGTGTCCTCCGCTCTGCAGAGAGGCTGATCGGCTGCAATCTGCCGTCCCTGCAGGACTTGTTCGCTTCCAGGTCTCTGAAGCAGCTAAAAAGATGGTAGCCGACCCCTCTCACCCCGGACAAAACCTGTTTGTGCCCCTTCCATCTGGCAGGAGGCTGAGGTCCATCAGGACTAAGACCTCCCGCCACACGAACAGTTTCTTCCCGTCGGCAGTCGGGCTCATCAACAGAGCCGGTCCCCCACTGACTGACTATAACATCCCACCGGTCACTCCCCCTCATACTGCACGTCACTTTCACTGTAATTCATCACTTTGTCGTCACTCGTCACTTTGTCTGTTACTTGTTCGTTAGTGCACTTTATGCTTAATATTTTTCTTTTTAACTTTTTTAATATTTTAAATTTTTAACTTTATTCCCTTGTTTTATACTAACCCATAGCCTTATTCTACTAACCCATTGCATTAGCATTTCATTTTACTTTATTTTATTACTTGTGCACTGCTGTCTTGTCTGTCCACTGTCGCGCACTAACTAAGAATAATTCCTTGTATGTTTGGCATATTTTGGTAATAAATGTTTCCTGATTCCTGAATAAAACACTTATCAATGGCCCTTGTCACGGAGCACAGAGTCAATTTATTTGTCATGACTTGTACAGGATAGAAGATCGTATAGCGCTTTCTGGGAACATTGATGCAGGATGTACCCAAATTATAGTACATGCAATCCCTTTGGAACTTAATGCAGCCAATAAGGTCGTCTGACCAGTGCTTCTTAAATGGGGTTGCGTGAACTCAACAGGATAAGTAAGACATTTTTTTAAATGTTACTGCAGCAACAATAACCTCACATGTATAGGAATTGACACTTAAACAGACTTATTACAAAATACTTTTCTTTTTTTTTATGGATTATTTTTACATTTGTCATTTTAAAATAACTCTTTATACTGTAGCACTGTTACTGAAGTTCGAGACCTGATGATAAACTCATTATAGGCAGGGGACTGTCTCATTACTAAGAAACTGTTCTTGTCCCAGGTGGTTTATCTTAAATGAATCCATCTCGTTGCATCAAGCCCTCAACAAATATGGTTAAACCTCTTAAGCTTTAATGCTAACATGATATACAAGAAGAGCGTAAGCCAGGCAGCTGTGGCAAAGCAGCGGTTACATCCCTGGCCTCCATGTTGATCTGCCACGAACTACGAATCAATCCTGTGTAAAGTTGTCAAAAGCCAGCAGAAATTAATCATGACTTAATTTGCCTTACTGATATGTTTTGTATGAATGATACAATTTAGCCATAAGGTGAACTCAACATTAGAGCCATCCTCAATTGTCACTTCTCCATGGGCATATTGTACTGTACAGTTAAAAACAGCTGAAAACTATTCTATTTGTAACACGTTTAAGTGTTGTCTGAGGGCAGCAGGCTGCAGATAGTGTTGAGGTAATTATTGATGAATTCACTTTTACATAGATAAAGAAAATAATGTTATTTTCTGAATATCTTGTGACTATGTCTTGGTTGACCCTGTCTTTAATATTACTGTACATTCAGGTCACTGAGGCCACCATATTATATTTTCTCAAAAAGCATTATTTTAAAAACTCAGAAGGTCAAACAGTAGTGCTGGTTACAGATCCTGTAATCACAGATATCCTAGTGACCACCAGCTTGCCAGAAAATAACTTTTAACAGTCGATTTCTTCTGAGAAAGTTGTTTGTTGTTGTCTGTCCACAGCTTCTATAGCTTCGGCTACTGTCTATACACCTAACACTACCGGTATGTAGTAAATTAAGTTACCCTCATAGTCCGGTAGTGAAAACCCACAAGACAGTTAATGTGTTAGGAATTGTATGTGAATCTGGTAAACAGGTATACCTCCACAGCTAAACCTCACTATCGTGACGTTAGCTAAATAGGTAAAACAGTTACCGGCTAAGTAACGCATACGAGCCTTCTTACATTAGCTTTGCTGGAGTGTTTACTCTCACTACTGTAGGATATTAGAAACAAACTGACGACCCGGTTCATAAAATTAATAAAAATGCATATAGTGTACACCAGAATACAGCCATGATTCTGAAACTGTGTAATCAATAAAGTAATGACAATATTGTAAAACCACTGTAATTCTGCAACTGTAATAGAATAATACCAATGTACAGTTATGATTGTATTTGATGTAATGTAATCAACTGGAATGCATGTTGTACAACAACTGATATTGACTATGGATCATTCGAAATCCCGAGTTACATTGAACTCACCAGAAGACCACTCCCAGAGGTGTGGACACTAACTTTCACACCTTTAAGCATTGTAGCACTTAAATTGTACTTATAACGCCACTCATCTATAGCAAATTGTAAATTGGCTTATTTGATGAAACGCGCCTTACTGTGCAAACTGAAACCTCAGCGCCTGCTGCCACCGAGTCTTGCTGCAGGTGTTCTGCAGTCACTCGAGGGTTTTTGACCACTTGCCTCCTCAGGAATCTGGTGGCAGCCGCTGACAGCTTCTTCTTTCTGCCACGTCCAGGTAGCGTAGCCGCTGGTCCTTCAACTTTCAACTTGCCAACTATGCTTCCAACTGTATTTCTAGGGACATTCGGTGCTTTTGCTATCTTTTTGTATCATTTTCCTTGTTTGTGCAAGGCAACGATCTCTTCTCTGAACTTTTTGGACAATTTCTAACATGCAATCAAACGTCACTCTCAATAAACCCGGAGCCAGACCAGGTGTGTTCTATCTCAAGCACACCTGAACTAATGAAGCCCTTGATTAGTGCACCAGGTGTGCTTGATACGGGGAGTTGGATCATTTCAAAGGTGCTCTGCTAAGTCCTGAAGATGCTCGTCACGAAGGGGTGGAATCATTTTGAGACTGCAGTAAATTCATTAAAAGTAGCATTTTGTGCTGAATTTGGACAAAACCTTTATAATATTAGTTTCATTAAACTACTTGTGTAATTTGTTTATTGCAAACAGCTGAGAAATTCTATATTTTGCCAATAAACCTAATGTGCAACGGGGTTGAACAATTTTGATTGCAGGTGTAAGTCCAGTCATTAAACTCCATATCCTAGTCCTAAGCCGAGTGCAGTCCAAAACCACGTCCAACCACAACTGAACTAAACACACGCTTTCACTTTTTCTCTGAGTTTGTGTTGCAGGCCAAATAAACTCCTCAGGCTTCCTCCTTTCATGCTGGGCACCGTGGACGCCATGCGCCAGGTGAATGACGTGGATTGACTAATATCTTTGCCGCTTCAGCGCAGGATACTTCATTTTTTACTTAATTCTTTTCTTATTGCTCTACACAACCTCATTTACGTGTCACCTCAGATAGACTCTCACAACTTTGATCAGCTACACAACCATCTTATTCACGTCCTTCAGCACACAGCACGGTTTTGTTTTCCTCAGACAGGAAAGCTCAAGCACCCCAGCGGTACTTTCTCTAACGCGGTGCTGAACAGTCAAACAATCAACTGTTTATCCAGATTTCTATTAGGAAGTTACTTTACACCATTTGACTTCTGTCCATTCTTTCCATACCTGTTGGCTTCGAATGATACGGGACCGAATTCATGATTGAACAAACAAACAAAAGCACAAGAATGAAATCAAACTAATCCAATTAGTGAGACAACGCTCCTCTTTTATTAAGGCTGGACAGATGAGAGATGCCCATCAGACAGGTTGCTTCCCATGTCATCGATGGAGAGGCCCATGTTGGGAACATGCAGCTGTGCTTTGTGTGGGTCCACTTGCAAAGGGCTTCGTATATTCATGAGGAAACCTACATAAACAAGCTCAGTTGTACAGGACATTTCCCTCCAAACAAGAAGCGCTGAACATATTTCATGTGGTGCGTCCAACGTTCAGAGGCCTCGATATACAATAACAGATCGGCTATTATAGAGTAGCTGCGGATGGTGAACCAGCCGAAGCGCTGCAGTGGTGTGAGCACAGGAAGTGGCCTCTCAGTAGGGTTTGCCTCCCATGGCGGCGAGCATCTCTTGTCTGTCTGCAGCAGTGGGCATGTCAGGCCTCACGCCGTCTCTTCTCCTCTGGAGCATCACGCTGTGCTGCAAGGAGGCAAACGCAAGGTCACCAATGTGCACGTGTACTTCACTGTGATTATAAACTAACTAGTTTATAATCACACTAAACTAAACGTATAGTTACGATACGTTTAGTTTGGTCAAATGTTTGTACCCATGGGTCAGAGTCTCCCACTAACCAGGTTTGTTGTGGTATAAAGCGGCGTGTGCCTCCCTGAGGCACCGCTTTGCTCATGAGCAGCTATAAGTGAGACTCTTGAGTCCTCACTTGTCTCGGTTTGCTGTCTTTGACTCTGGAGACAGACACTCACCCAGTATTTCCGACAGTTCTTGTATCTGTGGAAGTAAGCGGAGCACATGCTGGAGTCGTAGTTGTAGGCACTCAAACACTTCTGGGAGGCGTCACTTTCCTGAAAGAGAAGAAGTTTGAGACCCCACGATGACACAAACATCGGCTTTGCATTTGAGGCGGAGGCAGCGGGGGAGACGGCAGGCGGGTGTTGCAGCGTGCACGGAGCTTACCTCAATGCACGGGTTGCTGTCCTGGTTCCGAACTTTACGTACAGTTTTATCCATCCGGACCTGTGTAAAGATGAAGACATATGAACAGGGTCGGTTTCTGCACATCGTCTTAGTTTACCTCTTCACTGTATTTATTACAAGTGTGTAACTGGGATGACCGACGAGGACCTACAATTGTATGACGGCCCACAACAAGAATGTACATTTATTATGAGGCAAATAATACACTGTGATAATTAACAGCTGGAATAACTGTGTAAATAATGTTTTTGGGTTGTAAATATTGGCTGGCGTCTGGTTCGTCTTTCCTGTTCCCAACACACCTCGGAGGGTGGAAAGTGCGGATCGCCCATTAATCGTAACGCACAACCATTGATCCGTTACCGCTGGAAACCACTGGGGGCGGCAGCCCACACTGCTGGAGCTGATCAATACAGGATGTGATTGACACTTGTCAGCGGGACGAGAGGATTCGAAGCTCTGCTGGTTTTCATGACATTCTGTGGAGGCTCGTGTAAAGACTTGAGGTCAGAAGGTCTGTCTGGTCCACCAGGGCTCAACGGTCAAGTAAAGAAGAGCACAGCGTGGCCGCAGCACAACACAAAGCGCAGTAACACAACTGCCTTCTGTTCTCCTGATGCTCCATTATTTACTCCAGCAGGTCGGATGTATTCATTTGTCTAGTGACTATAAAGCTTAAGTCACGTTGTAAGCTGCTGTGTGTCTCCTTCACACTCCTCGTGGGAGAAACCTGCACCAACAAGTACCAGCAGACCGGCGGGCCCCGTGGTCCTCTAAGAGCACGGAGACCTCCTCGTGTCTCCAACAACTGCCCCGCGATGCCCCGCGTCGTTACACAACACTTGTTCGGATTGACATTGACGCACCTGCAGCTCGGGGTTGGACATGAAACGTGTCTCTTCGTTTAGTAGGAAGCGGCGTCGCGTCACTGGTCGGGTCGATGGCTGCCGTAAACCCAACAGCCGGCCCGTGTTACTGCGGCAATGGAGCCGTGCTACGCGGGGACGCGATGACCTCCGTGGATGCGAGCGACGCGGCTCCTGCGGCCGACGGGCGGGACGGAGCCCGCACTCACCGCCCGGGTCCAGCGGAGGTGTCGCGCTGCTGGGCTCCCGCCGGAGAGACGGTGGACACGCGTCTAACAGCGAACACACGCCACCCGTCACCAGCTGCTGCACCTCCGGCACACCGCGTCTACCGGCCGGTCACCTCTCCGTCGGGCTCCAGGAAGCTCGCGTTGATCAACAGCGCACCAGGAAAAGAAGCCCCGCCCGAAGCCCGAACCGACGCGGGCGCCAGCCAATGGGAGCCGCTGAAAACGATCCGCGCGGACTGACGGTGAAGCGAGCCAATGACATTACTTCGCCAACACGTTTGACTTCCTATCCCTTTATACTGTGCTAAACCAAATCGAAATGGCTGAAGTTACATATAGAAATTGTCAAAGATATTTCTCTGGACGGGACCTTAAATGACGTTGCGGTGACAGCGGCAGCGCCTCGCACAAACCCAAATGCCAAGTGGGCGGGAGTTGGGGTGGGCGTGGCCAACGCATAGTGCGGTTGCATCGCAGCGCATACACACAATGGCTGCTCGAAAGAGAGGAAAGCAAACAATTTTCAGGCCCGCCGCGTCTAGCAAAAAATATGAGAAAAAAATTATTAAAAATTCGGAAAATAGTTGAAAGTCAAGAAAAACCCGACAGAAAGGATGTTAAAGCGACCGGGGTAAGTTTGGTGTAAATTAAGTCTACGGGTACTTGGTTCTTGAATTAAAATATCGGGGTTATTTAAATTATGAGAGAGGGGTGAGCTGGGGAAAAAGTTCGTGTCAATCAGTTCCCACTTTGGGACCACAGAGGAAACCGGGAAAGTAACGTTTGCATTTGAAATAACAATAAAACGATGTCACTGGTGGTATAAGTTTCACAAACTTTAAAGACTACAGGAGCACTAGAAATAGGAAAGGTGAGCCCAAGTGGAAAAGATGCCGCCGCAGTTAGTGAACGTGCGTGTGCGTGTGTCTGCACATTGACGCGCATTCATGGGTGATAATAAGGCTTCATCGCGAGCAGCGCGGCTCCTGTTGATTCTCCTCTTCTCTCCGAGCCGCTCGGCCCGTCGCCGGTCCCGCTGCCGGTCCCGCTGCCGGTCCCGCTGCCGGTCCCGCTGCCGGTCCCGGTGGGTTCGGGGGGCTGCTGACGCGCGGGGGCACCGAGTTGTCAGTGACGGCGGCAGGTTGCACTGAGCACCGCGGTCACGTTCACTAGACGGGTACCTGTGGCTGCTGCTGCCCGCGAGCCGGCGTGTGAAACGGCAGCTGGTGCGCGGGGGGCTGCGGGGGGCTGCGGGGGGGCAACGTGGGGCTGCGGCGGGCTGCGGGGTCGGAAGCTTCATCCGTTGTCGCGTGGAAGCAGCGGTGTGTTTGCTTCGTGGTTTGAAACAGTTCCTGACAGGAAACGTGCTGTCAGCTTGGCTTGAGTCGCTTATTAACCTGTCCTGTTCCTTTGACCCTATACCCATTGATCCTATACCCTTTGACCCGTTGACCCTATACCCTTTGACCCGTTGACCCTATACCCATTGATCCTATACCCTTTGACCCGTTGACCCTATACCCTTTGACCCGTTGACCCTATACCCATTGATCCTATACCCTTTGACCCGTTGACCCTATACCCTTTGACCCGCTACCCTTTGACCCATTGACCCTATACCCATTGACCCTATACCCTTTGACCCGTTGACCCTATACCCTTTGACCCTATACCCTTTGACCCTATACCCTTTGACCCGTTGACCCATCAGCGAGACCTGGACACCGGCTCTCATATGGACCCAGTGGGTCACTTGTGACTGATGTTGTCAGTGTGACTGGACATTGAATCCCTCACAACATTCGACCTTTTGTGTATAACGATGTAAATACATGTTTGCTTCCCATGAGCTAAAACGTCACGTTCTCTACCTTTTATATCAGATGGAATCAGGCAACATTTACTGCCATAATATGTCAGAAATACAAGGAATCTCACTTGGTTGGTGCCAACAAGACAACAGTGCACGAGGAATCAAAAATAATGCTGTGGGTCAGTAGTACAAGGCTATGGGTTAGTAATATAAGGCTATGGGTTAGTAGTATAATGCTATGGATTAGTAGTATAAGGCTATGGGTTAGTAGTATAAGGCTATGGGTTAGTAGTATAATGCTATGGGTTAGTAATACAAGGCTATGGGTTAGTAATATAAGGCTGTGGGTTAGTAATACAAGGCTATGGGTTAGTAATACAAGGCTATGGGTTAGTAATATAAGGCTATGGGTTAGTAATATAAGGCTATGGGTTAGTAATATAAGGCTATGGGTTAGTAATATAAGGCTATGGGTTAGTAATATAAGGCTATGGGTTAGTAGTATAATGCTATGGATTAGTAGTATAAGGCTATGGGTTAGTAGTATAAGGCTATGGGTTAGTAGTATAAGGCTATGGGTTAGTAATACAAGGCTATGGGTTAGTAGTATAATGCTATGGATTAGTAGTATAAGGCTATGGGTTAGTAGTATAAGGCTATGGGTTAGTAGTACAAGGCTATGGGTTAGTAATACAAGGCTATGGGTTAGTAATATAAGGCTGTGGGTTAGTAATACAAGGCTATGGGTTAGTAATATAAGGCTATGGGTTAGTAGTATAATGCTATGGGTTAGTAGTACAAGGCCATGGGTTAGTAATACAAGGCTATGGGTTAGTAATATAAGGCTATGGGTTAGTAGTATAAGGCTATGGGTTAGTAATATAAGGCTGAGGGTGCAGTAGTATAAGGCTGTGGGTTAGTAATATAAGGCTATGGGTCATTAATACAACGCTATGTGTTAGTAATATAAGGCTCTGGGTTAGTAAAAACAGGCTATGGGTTAGTAATATAAGGCTATGGGGTTAGTGCTCTCTCGCTATGGGTCAGCATAAAAGTGCTGTGGGTTAATAGTAAAAGGCTATGGGTTGGTACTATGAGGCTCTGGGGTAGTAAAACAGGCCATGGGCTTAGTAGCCTACGGAGAAGGGTTAACCGTC